CTTGTTGTTGGGAAATCAACTAGGCCTTCTAGGCTTGCTTCCTCCGCCCCGCCCCCAAATCACCTAGTCCCAGTCTTTTCATGTGAAAAACCGCTGAATACTAAAAATATAAATAAGACTAGAAGGCCTAGGTCTAGGCTGGGAATTTGGTATTTTATCTGTGTGTGCTGCCTGTGAACCCCGGGGAAATTAAGGAGTGGTCATTATTTATGGGGAGGGGGGGGGGGGGGGTGGGTGTTGTGAAATAGGGAAAATAAGGATTGAAAACTTTTTTGACCCCCCTTCAGACTGAAGGCAAACTTTTTCGCCTCACCCCCAGTGTGGATTCAAAAATTAACAGCAATGAAACAGGTGTCCATTGCATGTAAAGTTAGATATTAGGACAATCTGTCTGGGCACCAACCATGGTAGTGCCTTGCAATCATGGGAGTCGGACCCACTAAGTTTAACAAGCTTGCTACCCCCTGAGTGACCCAGTTGTGGTATTTACATAAACATACCATGCAAATACACTTAACTGATCAGATTCAGTCTATCAACGCACAATGTAACACTGTATATCCAAAAACCTGTTTCAGAAAATGCTCACATTTCAGTTCTAGGGGTGGAAAAATACAAAAAATTTTCTGGGGGAGAATCTCCGGACCCCCTTACTAGTACATACGATACTACACCAAACTTTTTGTCACCAACAACCATCTGTCATCTCTCCACACTCAATATAGTATGGTCCCTTTTTGTAGATGCCTACCCCCGAGCAGGGAAATTTTGAAAATTTTGAGTCTCTAGATCGTTGGAAATAGCATTTTCAGAGTCTTCTTTGTTGCTATTTGTGATTATAGAAATCAGAACTCTAGACATGGTATTTAAGTTCAAAAACTTTTATGACCCCCCCTCCCCCATTCTCTGTGTTAAAACTTTTTTCATCTCCCCTATTTATAAGGGTAAAACTTTGTTTCCCCCCCCCTCCCATTTCCCAACTCCCCCCCTCGCCATAAATAATGACCACTCCCTTACAAACTTCGCAATAAGAGGACGATGGGGGGAGTGGAAGTAGGGAACTTTGATTTGAATTTTATAAATGAAGTACATAATTGGTGTGAACTCAAAATCGCAGGCTCACACAGAAAGATATCGATCGCCAACCTATTATTTATGATATTTTGTAGTGGTCTTGCTAAAATTTGAATAAATAAATACGGAATACATGAGTGCCATTGTGATACCCCCAGGGACGCCGGAACGATGATAAGGCAAAGGGGGGCGGACGCACACAAAGGGCACCTCTATAGAGAAAAACTTACCCCCCCCCCGTCGCCATAAAATTTTCGGTCAGTGTACCATTTTAGGGGACAAAAATTTTTTCCGGACATACCAAAAGTCAAATATAAACTATAAACTGCCTGAATCTCATGATTTTCCTACAAAAAGCATCGTTGGAAATGTGATTTATCACATGCATAGTATTTTACAACTAAAACGGCACTTCTGCCCCCCCCCTGCCCTCCCTAGCAAAAGGCAAGGGGGGCAGCCGCCCCTCCTGCCTCTCCCCCCAGTTCCGGCGTCCCTGGATACCCCAGTTTGTATAATAATTTTTAATTGTTTGTATGCTATTTATATTATGAACTACTTTATTGTAAGCCCAGGTGGAGGGCAGTTTGACTTACACATTTCCCGGGGGAGGGAGGGAGAATTAATGCATTAGAATCATGTTTTTGCAAAGTCCCGGGGGTGTACCCCCAGGGCAGGCCATTGATATGTGCATTATATACAAGTAGCAATCGAGTTGAAGTATTATATAATACTAGTAATAAATTATAGTATATTTCAACAAATGAATGTATGGTACAGTACAAGTGTGTCATTAAAATTATGAAAAATGCCTCACCTGTAGTGCTTTTCAGCTTTTGTTGTTTATTTATTAACATATGGAAACAGAATCACTCAATCACCATAGTCTTCGAAATTTCAAAAGTTTGTTTCCCATCATGACAATTATTTCAATTTCTCGTTAATTTTGTAATTTATTACTCATTTTCTACGGCTCCACACAAAATACTGTAGGTCTGCACCTACGGATGATACTCCTAAAGCATACATGCGACATGGGCAAAAATACCACCTAACCACCATTCGTTCAGCTCATTTATATTATCTGTTTGGATCATCATTTATACATTTCACAGCAGAAATTGTGGGATAGTCGCTCGAATGAATTAAAGCTCCAGCTTGAACTTGATAGTAGTTGGTAAAGTTCAGAAGAAACCTTTTACACCTATATGTACATAACTAATATTTACTAATTTCAAATCTTCTCCAATGTACTCCTTTTTTAAAAATTATAAAGATCAGTGGCTCTCTGGTCAGGAGGAGTGGGAAATGTCGCCTGCACGCATTTGAGCTGTGGTCAGTTAACATACTATGAGAATAGTGGACGTGGAGCTCGAAATGCGCCATGTTTTTGCGGACACTTTTTATTTGCGAGCACGATCTCCAGATATATAGTAGAGCTCAGTGGTCAGTTCAGAACACTCATCGGCGACTGTCGTCTGTTCCATTCAATTAGCGTTCCGACAATACGGAGTACTCCGAACAGTAAATGGAGTAGCTTGCCAAGGCAAGACAAACATGCAAACACACAATTGTCCGCCCGATAAAAATATACACGACGACAAGCAAAATAAACTAAATAACGAATCGGGACACTATTATTAATATTATTATTTATTTATTTTCATTTTTATCCCTATAATACAAAAGTTATGGCAGGCTATTTAGCCATGCCTAGCCTGAGACAGTCGGTTAATTTGAGCTAGAAAGTTCTACTAAATATTTCCATGGACCATGGCCAATGAAGAGTCGTTTCAAAATACTGAGTTTAGCTTAAATTGTTTTTGGTTGTTTTAGGGTAATAATATTTTAAACTTACCGTCTTTCACAAAGTCCTAGCTTCAGGCTGTCTTATGATGAAATGAACAGTTAATTAAAACAATCATGGTCTTGTATATAGTTTAAGGCCGGTGACCGGAAAAAGTCGTTTCAGCTCAGGAAGATCTAGAAGGGAAGCTAGGCTGATCTGGCTTGTGTTTTCTTATTATTGACAAATATAATATCACATTTCACGGTTTCATATTTAAATTTTGCATTGTAAATGAACTGAATATCGGGGTGATAGCCTATTGTGCGAGGCCATCGTGTATAATAATTGTCTAGTTTTTTCGTCTTCTTTAGTTGTATCACCTATTTGATACATATACCAGTTATACCTCCACGAGAAATCTTGACTTGATTGCCGAGCCTCACAACAGGATGGTAAGGGAAACACTAGGTATGTGACATGACAGCAAACTCAAAATGAAATTTGATGACGAACATCGATGTTCCTGCATGGCTACAATTTTAGTTTTTCGCTTTGCCAGGGTTTATTTTAAGAAAAATTTAGAACTGCACATATATAGGGATGTTACGAAGGTAACGGGTGTTTGGCTGGGAGTGCAAGGGGTCGAAGGATTATTTACCTGCATATAGGTGACAGAATAATTGTGTGGTTGCCGGGTGGGAAAGAGGCCAGACAAACTCTATTTTGGGCGCGTGACCAAGGGGGTGTTTCCTAAAACATATTAAATCTAGAGGCTCTTAAGTTCTGGCAAGGATTTGTTTTACCCAACCACTCACAAAAACTGTTTCAAAACATGTAACTGGAAATCATTCAATATATAACAACCTTAATTGCATAAGCATCAAAAATATAAACGTTTTCTGGGGGAGGACTCCAGACCCTCCTATATTTTCCTCACTAATCACTTACCTGCTGGGGTAATGCAAAAAAGAATGGAAAATTGGGGCGAGCGAAGCTCCTTAAAAGAGATTATAGTGGGAGAACATAATATTCTTTGCTGCCTCAAATGCTAATTGTTAATGACAACATGTCTGGTATTTTCTGGAGCATCCACAAGGGTAATGAGTAAATTGTGTTAGTTTGGTGACTGCACATTTGTGTTTTAAGAACTGCACAAATGGGTTTAGAACTGCAAAACCCTGCTTCTTTCTAGTTAAAAGCTGGAAGCTAAGATCTACTAAATATTTCCATGGCCAGTGTAGAGTCGGTTCTAAATACTGAGTTAACTTGTTCTTACTCTTTGGGGGGTAACAATATTTTATATATACGTACCGTTTTTCACGAAGTCTTAGCTTTGTTCTGTTGTATGACGAAATGAACAGTTAAAACAATAGTCTTGTAGTTTAAGGTCGGTGATCGGAAAAAGTCGTTTCAGCTCAGGAAGAAGGGAAGCTAGACTGGTCTGGCTTATGTTTTCTTATCATTGGCAAATAGTATCACATTTCTCGGTTTCATATTTAAACTTTTGCATTGTAAATTAACTATAAATATTATGATGAAATTGTGCGAGGTACATCGTCCATGATAATTACATGTATGGGGTTTTTTTTCTATAGATGTATATTACCTATATTTAATATATATTTTTACGAGAAATGTTGACTTGATTACCGAACCAGACTACAAGATAGTATAGGGGAAAGTCTAGGTACTATGTGACATGAAAGCAAAGGCATGTGCAATGACATGATGGATGCTTGTCATGCTACTCTGAGTGTATATCCACACCAGGCAGGCTTAAAAAATATGCCTGGCCAGGATGGGAATCGAACCTACGACCTTTGGAATACTAGCCCAATGCTCCGCCAACTGAGCTACCGCGTCAAGTCGTTTCAAGTATGTGCATGATATTTCGGAACTGAGTCTAGTTCCTTCGATATCAATGTAATCTAACAATCGCGACATTTGCAGGGTTCGTGTAATGTACTCAGGTGCATAAGATGCTAATTGTGATGTTACTCTGAGTGTATATCCACACTGGGCAGGCTTGAAAAATATGTCTTGCAACGGTCGGAATCAACCCTACGACCTTTGGAATATTTGATGACATGATGGACGTTGACATTTGCCAGTTTTTTTGTGTTATGCACATGCGCGAGAACATGCGCAGGATGAAGTAGTGACTATCAAACTCATGATTGGCTAAGATAAAGATTTTGTTTTTCAAATGCTATACGAAGGAAGTTTAACTTTCTGTCATTTAATATTAAAATTTACAAATTGCTTTCTTTACAAGTTTGAATGTTGGAATAATGCAAATATATTTAAAATTTTACATAACATAACCTGTTCCTATATATTATATGCCTAGTTTCACCCCTAATGAATTTAATGTTTTCATAGAAACTTTTACAAAACTAATATGGATGTTTTTTTTAGTAAAAAAACAAATTTTATAAAACCAAGGTTGAAGTCCTACCAAATATTTCCGTGGAAAATTAAGAATCGAATGATTTAGGAAGCGATCAACTGCAGTGTTTACTTTTACAAGTCTATTTTTACCATTTGACATTCGTTTATTTGTCCACAATGTTTTGAGCCTAATGCTGATTGGCTAATGCACGCACTGTAAAACAATTGTCTTGTAGTTAAAGTCCGTTGACCGGAAGAAGTCGTTTCATCTAATTAGGAATACGGGAAGCTCGGCTGGTCTGGCTTATATTTCCTTATCATTGCCAAAAAATATCGCTGTTGTTTCAGCTCAGGAAGAAGGTACAATGACCTGCATGCCCTGGTTTATCACATGTTTGCTTAACATTGACAAGCTAGTGAATAAATGATATCACATTTTCATGGTTTCATATTTAGCTTTTGCAATGTCAATTGGCATAATTTAATATTGGCAAAATAATATGCTGTGTATATCCTCGTATAGTTTTTTATGTTCTATAGTTCAATCGATCACCTATTTTTAAATTAATATAGCACTTAATTAGGGCTCAAAACCCAATTAAAGTATGCATGTGCCTCACATCGTGAAAGCCTAACGAAGTGAAATGTCATGGATGTTTGATGGTGTGAAGTGGTAAGTACCATGCTTATAACTGGGTAACATATGGATTTTGTTTTCCCAATGTCACATGTCTTCTGGTCTTGCTATATGCTACCTTCTTGTCTTCTTTCGCCACAGGTTTGTAAAGAAACGATTACAAAACTACTGCACGCAGTACGGATTTTTTTCAATGGAAGAAAGGTCGAAGTTAATTTTAACAAGGCATGTAAGGCACATTTTTTTCCGTAGACAGTCGGACTCCTCATTGATAGTTGGACGCATTATTGACCCGCTCCCTCAAACAAAATATATTATAAATGTACAATAGAATATTATAATTAGACTGTACTTCTAAGAGACTTGATATAATGTAAGTCTTTTTAAATCCATTGATATATATTACACCTTGAAATGTTAAAAAGTTTGGATTTCTTAAGTTGTAATTATTTGAATGCTTTGTAGGTAAGAGATGGTGAATTTTATGATGTTTATCATTCACCATTGATTTGAAGACTTTGGTACATAATCTTTTCCTTCTTGTCTTCAAAGTTTCCACATCTAATTCTTCAACGGCTTCTGAGTCCGGGCATATGATGCGCAAAGGTCTCTTCTAAATCAGCTCTATTTGGTCTGAAAGATATTCCGGGAGACCGTAATGAAATACTTGACATGCGTATTCAAGGATAGATCTTACAGAAGCAATATAGAAACATTTTAAATCATTGTCACTAAGACCCGATCTCTTTAGTTGTTTTATCAGATACAATCGCTTCGCTGCTCTAGTTGTTATCTTATCCGCATGGGCATTCCACTTCATGTCTTGAGTGATCAATAAACCGAGAATCGTTGCTTTTTCAACACGCTCTACTTTAATTCCGTTTATCTTTATCGGCGAGAAAACAGGTTTATTACGTTGAAAGTTAATCACAATCTCCTTGGATTTTATCTGGTTGAGTTCAAATTTTTTGTAAGTTGACCAATTCGCAATACAATTAGTAACATCTTGCATGCAGGGAACTCGTATACTCTTGATTTAATATATATATTCAGAAACATTGGTGTCGTCTGCGTATTTTAACATATCACCTTCAACATTATCAAATGAATCAGATTGGATTGAAAGATCGTTGATCATAAGAAGAAATAGCCATGCCCTCAATTTGGTTCCCTGAGGAATTCCAGCATTTATAAGTTTCCAATCGGAAAAACAGTCCAAGTGGAGCTATACCCTTTCTGATTGTGCAGGAAATCTACTATCCACTTAAACACCGATGGTTTAATACCAATTTGCTTCAGTTTTTGGCAAAGAATGTTATGATCTATTAAATCAAATGCCTTCCGCTAATCCGTAAGCAGCGCTCGTACGGTTCCGCCTCTCGCACCAACAGTTTCTGTCCAACGATGAATTAAGGATATTAGGACCAATAGGGTAGTACAGGAGCCAGGTATTAAACCATATTGATTGGGATCTATACATGACATTATTAGTTAACGTGCACAACTCAACGAAAACGACCAAATATTCAGTTATGTTAATAAGGATAGCTTATTTTATATGTCAAGATTACAATTAAACATGCATATAATAAAACATAGTAATTGTTTAGCAAATGGTTATAAATTGAATAAAAACAATACCGAAGTTTTATATAGTCGTTGAGATGCATGTGTTATTTGGTTTTAAGCATACACATACTTTTAGATTTTCTCTGCATGAATAGTGAATAGCGATGCAAATTGCACTTTTCATCCTTGTCTTTATGGAAATATTAAATGCAAGTATATTTAAATATTATTGCTTTATGCCTTTCAACTGTAGTCACGATGGACGAGTTACATGAGACTGCAACAGCTCCGCAATTTTTATCACTTGTACTTATTCTTATATTCTCCGTTTATTTGTGTGTACTGAGTGGGAATATTGAATATTGTTAGAGAAAGAAAGGTATCTCACTTAAATAACGAAGTAAACCATGCATTATTAGTCGCTAATCTGTTACTTCAGCGTTTCTATAAATTATTAGTCCTTGCAATAACTGGTGCCCAAGCGAACATCCCAACTCCATGTATTGGCGGAGTTTTGGTTCCTAACTTTGCACGTGAGTTGTGAAGTTAATGGTCCGGACTTTCAGTCCAACGAATTACAGCAATGCCCGCCTGTCAATGTGAACAATTATTTTTGTAGTTTAACATGGGCAAGGGTAAGGGTCGGGTCCTTTCTAAAATATTGAATATTTGACAATGGGTTCGAACAACTTATATAATTGTATTGTCCTTGCGAGTATACAGTGTGTCCCCCAAAAAAGTACTCTATAGAAATTATCCTATTGTTGTTAAGCACAGGATTTTATGCGACTGGTAATTAAAAATTCAATTCAATTGTGTTTACGCGCTCTTAGGCATTCAAATTATAACAATAAGATAATTTCTATAGAGGGGACTTTTTCGGGACATACAGTAAGTCCGTCCGCTGTGTGACACCAGTCCTAAATTCATGATGTGCTGTCAGCTGTCTCAACCAGTGAGAATTAGCTCGTTTGTTACGTGGAACGGTATGTGATTATAATATTCGTTCAAAATCAGACGATGATAATGTGCTGTCTCTACCAATGAGCAGGTCAGTTTCTATGCATTTAGACGAATAGATCGTTCGTTTTTAATGAGGCTATACGTTCGTTGTCGTTGAGTTGTGCATGTTAACTATTGAGACTGTAGATCATATGAAATGACAATTTCCTGAGCGATTTTGCACAATGATGATGTGAATGATATAGGGAGCAGATCTTTATTAACGTCCAATCCAGTCTTATTTTTGGGAATGGGACATACGTTTGCTAGCTAGCGTCCACACCGCGGGTAGCCGTTCCTCCCGGAAAGACGCATTCAATATCACTGTAACAGGTTCGGCAAGCAAATCTACGAACGATTTCAGCACCTAATTCAGTAGATTAACGGGGCCACTCGATTTACCCGCACCGATACGCTGTGAATGAGACAACACTTCTTCGACAGAAACAACAATTGGGGTATCGTTTTCAGATATAACATCCACATTATCGTTTAAAGGAGGGCAATTAAGCATGGGTTCGAAAAACGTGTCATTTATCAGATTACTTAGAACAGTGGGATCTTGTGTATCCTGTTCTAGGTTTGCAACAATATTATCAGTGTTCCCACGGAAAGACCACAAAACCGTTTCACTTCACTCCACCAGTCTTTTGGTGTAGCATGCTTCATATCTTTGAACATATTTTCATAATACAACTTGCGACACCTTTTTCTGGAACGATTAACTTTGTTTCGTAATATTTTGTAAAGCGTTTGGTTACCTTTGGCAAAAGCTTTTAGCCTTCTACTAATAAGGGTTCTTAAGTTATTGTTCATCCATGGTCGATCGTTGTGGTTTGTTACTACAGCTTTCAAAGATGTTAAGGTATCCAAAGCGTTGTTGGTAATACAGGTAAAATCGTTTAAGTTTTCTTCACATGATCGGTTGGAGGATACCATAAAATCGCATGGGATTTCAGAAAGAAATTTCCCTACACACCTTATACTACTGGGTCTTTTTCACGAACATAAATTACTTTTTTACTCTGCGTCCCTTTAGCTCGAATATTGGGAAATGCAAGAATAGTTAAGTGATCTGACAGTCCAAACGGTGGTATATTTGCAAGTCCATGCTTAGATTATATTGATTAGATTATAATAGCTCCACAAATATACTTTATATATAACGATAATAATAATTAGTATAAACCTACTAGTAGGCTATCACATATCGTGCCTTCTGATTGGCTACGCTGCTAGTAGGCTAGTGATAGCCTACTAATAGAAAATTCAAAATGGCTGGAAATTCGCGTTTTGCACTTTTGCCGAAGTGTCTGATGATTTTTTGGACGACTTGTTGAACAATTATGTACTAAAAAACCCCGAAAAAAGCAACAAAAATATGGAATGGCAATTTTTAAGGGTAAGAAAATAGACAAAATAACATACACTCAATGAAATTTTAAAATTAAAACTGAATCTTGTAAAAGATTTTACGCGAACAAAAACTAAAATATTAGTTTACATTTAGTGGTTTTATAATGTTTTTTGTGTATTTTTGTATTGTGTTTTCAGCCTAGTTCTAAATTAATGTTAAAGTTTATACTAAAACAATTAGACAACTTGGCCTCGTTGTCTATGAGCAAATAGTCAACTTGGCTTCGCCTCGTTTGACTATTCGCTCATAGATAACTCGGCCTCGTTGTGTAATTGTTAATTAGTATGATCTTTGGCCATGCTTTTTGATCTGTTGCAACTCGCAAATGCCTGTATACATGTAGCTCTGTTTCTATAGGCCTTTCCAATAACAAGTACCAATGGCCTAAATTTGACTAAATAGTTTAAATATTTACAGTACAGGTGTGAATGGTCTATTTGGACACATATAGAGCTGTAGCAACTGGGGGTAGGGGCTGCGCGAAGGGAAGGAGGCCTCAGCCACGACTATAATGTGTAAACTAGCAAAATATGTAAAGTTTGAGAGGGAAATAACGACCTAATAAAAACCCCCTGACTAATCCCCCCCCCCCGCCTACCCCCAATACACAATTGCTTTCTACGGTAGTGAATAAACCATAAATAAATTTACGATTAACAAAAAAGAAGTCAACAAACGCAGATTAGCGTCAGATAAAGATTAGATTAGATTAGAGTTAGATTACAATTAAGATTATGTTAGGGTTAGGGTTAAAGGACTTAGAAAACTTACTTCTGTCCCAACTTGGGGGTGCTTTAGGGTGCCTAAAATTCAGTAATAATCAGTTCTTTAAATTGCCCAGAGCATTGTTGAAATTGTGGACCCCTTACAGTAGCTCCCCATGCAATCTACCTAAGTTCTAGTTGGGTGACTGACTTAGGTCTATCCATTGGGTCTAGCATAAAAATAATGATGACATGAGTCACCAAAGAAGACCGTACCAGCTTATAAACAACGCAAAAAATGGGGCCTGCGAATTCTCTCGGCTGCCGTAGGTATGTTACTGCACATTTAAATGCTATACCTATCAAGTATTATTTCGGCATCCGCCAAACGGATCCATGGTCCTGTATTACAATGATCTACAACATCATTGTCATTTATTCATATTAAATATTGTCATTTAATACTTTGGTCGTAACTTCGTAACATCAATGTAAATAAATCAAGCTCGGCAATTCAAGGCGAAATCAAGGCCAAAATCAAGGCCAAATCAAGGTCTTTCGTCGGCATTATACAAAAAAGGCGGACATCTTCCTACTTAGTTTCGAGGCATTCCCGTCCAGCAGGTGACTTTTCATCCAACGTTTCCTACCGCATGCTGAGTCTGCGAGGCAAGTGTAGAACTTGTATTTGTATAAAAGAGACGGTTACAGGTAAACTACGTGAAGCGTTCCTCTTTTAAGTTTCTAACTTTGTTGCAATTTTCCTCATTACCTTAGTAAATTTGAAAAACTCCCTTGCAAATCCCTCGAAGGAATTTGCAGTGTTCTTAAAAGCGAAATAAATTTTCCTCAGTTCCTAATAAAAGTTCTTAACTTCCTGTTACAAGTTCACAACTTCCTGTCCTGTTTTGCGCGTTGTAATTGGCTAACAAAAATAATCCGCCAATGATAACGCTCAGAACAGAAAAGGAAGTCAGGAAATTAAAAGGAAGTTAGGGAAATTTGAAAGGAACTTTCTTTGCGTTGGAATATTACAACGGTCGACAGGAAAATTGCAAATTCCTACAAGGATTTGCAAAGAGTTTTTCAAATTTGCAAAGCTAATCATGAAAATTCCAAATGAGTTAGGAACCCAAAAGAGGAACGCTTCAAGTAGTTTACATGTAATATTATTAGGGGGTTTCAAAGGAAAAAATTACATAGTGACATTATGTCACATTTTTTTCATTTTTTGTGTAAAAATAGAAAATTTAACGTGCCTTCATAAAACGAAAAGATTTAGGACGGTTTTATCACTTATACCACTAATAAGTTTTCTGAATAACTTAGAAACTGTTTTTACAATGAATATGCTGGTTTTTTAACCTGATTTTTAAAATTATATATAGCACTAGAGGGTGTTTTAATAACAAATTATAAGTTTGCGCATATGTGTATGTGAATGAGTATTTTCAAGAATTTTAGTCTAATCTTATTCATTTTCTTTAACAAAATACTTGTAAAAATTAGTTTATCTTTCTTAATATCTTTGTAAACCTAACATATTTCAGCAGTGGAATTAGATATATTCTGGAGCTGTAAGTTTAGTGTCAAATGAACTATCAAACTTACCTTAATTTAACTTAAGATAATTCCGCAGTTTTGCATTGCGCACTTTTACTGCGCACATCTTATAACTTATAATTTCATCCATTATATACGTACGGTTTAAAAAAATCATTTTCTGACAATTTTATGTTACTTCAAAACATTTTTGGTTACATTCGTGCAAAGAATTACGTTACGATCAATGAATTTATTTACTTGTATTTCTCGTTTTAATGCCACAATTCCCTAAAAAGATCGGTGACCCCGTTTTTTGACTGATAATTTATTTCTTTAATACATTTTACATTTCATATCCGAAATTAAAAAATAAATCATTTCTGGATCTTGAAAAAAAATCCTTTATCAATGCCTGTTCTCAAAGAAAGATATATGTAAAGAAATGTGGAAAAGACATTTGTGGATCAGAATTATATACGTTAGTAGTTTCATTTTGCTGAAAACACAATATTTTTTCAAAAATAATTACAAGATAGGTTTACTAAAGCAAAATCGGCGCTAAAAACGTTAATAAATATCGGGCTGTTGTGATTTTGCTGTTACTCGTAATGAGCGTCAAGATGGCGCCATATTGGGGGTAAAGATGGTATATGGTGATTGTCATATCTTCTTAACGAGTTCTTTGACCCCGACTTTTTTGCGTGATTTTACGTTAAGTATATCATAAACTCCATGCCAGGGAAGTTTCAGCACATTCTCATTTCGGAAACAATTACTGCGGAATTACCTTAAATTAAACGATCGAATTGTACGAATGTAGCATTTAACGACATGCAATTATAGCATGTACTTGTGGTGTGCATATTTTGTATAGAACTCTAATTCAGAAATTAAATTGGTGTATAAGTTTATAACTGATCATGTGATACGTTATGGTTCTTCGATTGGGGTATCAATTTCTCGTTTGTAATACAAAATTACTGAAAAACGGCAAACTTCGCAGGGCTATATTATCCGCATTTTACAACATTTCGTAACGAAACTTTGGACTATTACTAATTTTGTGATGCTCTTTCAAGCTGTGATGAAATGTTTGTCTCGATCGATCAAAATTTTAGTTATAAGGTCAATTAGTGCACTTACTCCCAATTCTCTTTATCATCTCATTCTTTAAAACTTCTGAAATTATATAATAACTTATAAAAGATTTTCGTTTGCTTACGTTGTTTCTGAGATATTTCAGTTTGTTTGGTATACATTTGAAAATGTACTTCCATTGATTTATGCGCAATATAATTCATTAGAATTCATTAGAAAGAAGTTTGGAGTTATCGGAGGATTACATACCTATGTAAAACACTATTTAGACTTTTTATTTCATGATATTTAACTGTACCTTAATAGATTCTTTGACAGTCATTATTCATATGTGACGTAAATTCCGGTCATTTACATATCAATAAAACTGAAATAACTCAATGACAAAATGAGCAAACGAAAATTTTCAAAATAAGTTATTATACAGTTTCAGAAGTTCTTGAGAATGAGACGATAAAAAGAATCGAGCTTAAGTTCACTTTAAAGTAAGGTATACAGATCCGTTTGCATCATTAATTTATTTTGCTAGTAAAGATGAGCAGTCACAGAAATGGCAGTATAGTAACATGCAGTGCTGTGAAGTGGTAAGAACAAAATGAGATTTGTTTTATTGTGTATGCATTGTTTTCAGCAGCAATTTTGGTGCTCGAGGTGTCATTTGTAAAATTAGTAGACAAGCAAATTTCATTGAAGGAGGCTCCCTACAGTTTCCAATATAATCAGTGTTTTAAACTAGAAGGCTATTTGAATCTAAAAAACAAATTTTTTGCACAGCCAAGCCATTGTTTTCTCTCATAAAAAAGAGTAAATTCCACAATCACTACTCTTCACGTTACCATGACAACATGACGTCACCATCTACATATGACCTATATCAACCAAAAACCGATGCGCAGAACGGACTTGACTTCCACTTTAAACAATTTCATTGCTAAGGATTCGAACGGGTGAACATAAATTCGTTTATTTAAGGCTGGTATTCTGTAATTTATGGTACTGATGGCGGTAGTAATAAACTAATTATGGGTTTATAAAATGTTCCGCCGTCCATCGCACGTCTTCCGCCGTCCGCATTTTATCAATCCCGCATGTTGGCGGTGTTTAAATACAATAAATTTTAGTGAATTAATCGCTGGGCGTGGTGGCGTGCGCCTTTAACCGAGCTACTACGGAGCAGGTAGTGTCGAATGACTTGACGTCGGGACTCCTGTCGTACGTCGACAGGGGTCCCTTCGGGGAACCTTCGTCCACCAGGTTGAATAAAGAGGAACGTACCGGTCCAGGATGGAAACATAGCAGACAAAAGTTCCCGCGTCAAACAGTAGTGGGATAGCACCTGTGAATAGGAGGCGTGCGACAGCCCGGCCAAGATAGTTGAACCCGTTTCCATTTTTGTTCTTTTTTTCTTGTTTCATAGCACGAAAAGATAACGTTGAATGAATCTTTTCTTTCAAATGGCCCTTTCTTTCGAAGAGAAAAAAACTATATTCATTTATTGATGTCGGCCCATTGAATCCTGAAACAGTGCCCTCCTCCACTTTTAATATATTTCTCGAAATTTAATAACATTATTTGCGAATCCTTTTTCCTTGATTCTGGCCGCTACTTTATAACACCTCATCATGTTTCTAAGCTTAAAGCGGCAGTATTTCTGCTGTTGGAAGTCAAAAACACAGTTTTTGTGGCAAATTTGCTAAAATTTGTTGTGATAACGCTACTTTCACTAGTCCTTCTTTCGCTAGTAAAGACATGGATAATAAAATAAATGGATAGGAAACTAGCTGACGTGACCAAATGTTTTTACTGGGATTGATGGCGTGGTTGGATGCCTCAACCTAGTTGAAAATCAAATTCTCAAAAACGGTATGTTTAACAATAATACAGCTAAACATTTTAGTCAGAGAGCAAATCAATGTAACCACGCCATTCTACGATGGAAACTCTAAGTATTCCCAGTCAATTTTAGCAAATATTTCAAGCACTAAACAGTGAAAAATACATCGCAAATTTCGTTAAAATTTGTGACGCCAATTTCGTAGCTACAATTGTAAAAAAATACAAAACAAAGACGAAAAACATTTACCTTGAATACTTTGTCGTGGCTTAGGCATGTTTTTAAAACAATTAGACCAGTTTACGCTTCAAGATCACCCTTTTAAAGTGGAAAATATAGCAAAACAACAAATATGCCGAGAACTTTGGTAACATTCGCAATACGTGTGACGTCACGTTTTTCAACAAGGATGCAGTCAATGACGTCAGAAGTTTCCAATCCATTTATTTTATTATCCATGGTAAAGATGAGCAGTCACAGTATGGTAAGAGTGCTGTGAAGGGGTAAAAACAAATTAATGAGGTGTGGATTCTTATTGTGTATGTGTTCGAAGAAGCAATTTTGGTGTTCGGGGTGTCATTTGTAAAATCAGTAGACAAGCAAATTTCATTTAAGAGGCCCCCTGCAATTTCCAATATATGTCAGTGTTTTAAATTAGAAGCTATATATTTGAGTCTAAAAAAATATTTTTTTGCACAAGCCACTGTTTCCTCTTATATAAAAGAGTAATTTTAACCCACAATCGCTACCCCTCACGTTACCATGACAACATGACGTCACCATCTATATGGCCAAAATCAACCAAAAAGCCGTCTTAGCGAACAAATAACCATGATGGTGACCTCGGTGATAAAAAAAAAACTGCATACGAAATCATATACATACGTCTTAAATGCTGATTAAACAACTCCATTGCTAAGGATTCGAAAGGGTGAACATAAATTCGTTTATTTAAGGCTGGTATTCTGTAATTTATGGTACTGATGGCGGTAGTAATCAACTAATAATGGGTTTATAAAATGTACCGCCCTCCATCGCCCGTACGTGTGACGTCACGTTTTTCAACAAGTATGCAGTCAATGACGTCGTTTCCAATCCATTTATTTTATTTTCCATGGTAAAGATGAGCAGTCACAGTATGGTAAGAGTGCTGTGAAGGGGTAAGAACAAATTAATGAGGTGTGGATTCTTATTGTGTATGTGTTTGAAGCAGCAATTTTGGTGTTCGGGGTGTCATTTGTAAAATCAGTAGACATAGTCTGGTCGTTGAAGATGAATTGAAAGGGCTACCCGGAAAAAAAATGGTATAAAGCTGGTTTTGGTGTCAAATGAAGCGCAATTCTTACTAGAATAACATATACAAAATCCGCAAAAATCGTGTTTGGGGAATTTACAGGGGAGGGAAGAATTGGGTATAGTTGTTACGGTGGGCTAAAACAATATTTTTTCATCAATATAAGCGTAATTTTGATAAACTATTTTTTGTCAATTTAGTGGATATATATATTAGTTACCTACTTTTTTTACTCTATAGTATATAAATCTAAGAATCACCAGTCTTCATCAACTGGGGCTTCCTGTGGTACATATAAACAAAGTGGCGTCCTGTTCTACAACTTGTTTTTAACTTATATTGAAGAAATTCATTCATTTAAAGGATAAATACGAAACAACAAATCGTGATCCAAACATCTAAAATAAAATTTAACCCTCACTTGGAAGGTAAAGAGCCTAAAACTGAACTAATATTACTGGAAAATAATTTTTGATATTTGTTGATCACAATTTAATTTGTTATTTGTCAAGATATTATTTCTACCGCGATTATCATGGGATATTAGAAAGCACACGTAACTCTAATATAATTCTTCTTGTGACCTTTTAGATTTAGTTTTAGTGACTGTGACTTTTTGTTGTATTATTCAACATTCTGTTCGTCACGCCGTGTTCATATTGACCAATATGGACTAACTACTGAAATTTATCGTTTTAGATTATGAAATAATTATTCAATATAGCTAGGCATAGACATGTTTAATATGTTAAGATTTATATTATTATCTTTATCGATTTCAATAGTGTAAATCGCATTACAGAAAAGTAAATAGGTACTTGCGGATAAAATTTCATTCAACTGAATTACTACTGCATGTGTGCGTTTTCGTGTTGAGCCAATGATATATTATAGCCTATAATATTAAAAATAAAATTTAAAAATATGCTACAACTAAAATAGTTTAAATCTACTGATGGACAGAACTATAGAATACGATGATTACTTGTTAACCCATCCGTCTCTCTATCTGTCGCTGTGTGTAGGTCATGCATCGCTAAAGGACACCATAAGAAAATGTCCGATGTTCAGGAAGACTCTTGCATAATTTGTAAGCAAGGATTTGATGAGCAACAATTCGTAACTGTATCAAAAAAGGGCATATTGACCCTCATCAGCTACAGCGAAAAACGTGGCCTGTCAGATTTCCAAAGCTATTTAACTGGACGTATTAGCATAGCACCTATTGGCAAAGTGTTGGTTCATGCAAAGTGCCGGAGAGACTTTACAGACCCAAAAAGATTGATTTCTAGAAATTTAGAAGTGCCTTGCGCAAAGAAATTGAGGTATAGTTCACTTCCATTTAACTGGAAAGATGACTGCGTATTTTGTGGTAACTCTGCAGCAATTGATAAGCGCCATCCTGAGAGATCACCAGTGTGCGCAGTGACAACCCTCCCATTCCGTGAAAAACTTCTTAAGTGCTGTGATGAGAGAGGGGACTCATGGGCAGCTGAAGTTCAGAATCGTTTACATGGATGTATTGACTTAGTTGCGGCTGAGGCCGTCTATCATGTCAACTGTTACTCAAGATTCGTGCTAATTAAAAATTACAATGCAGCATCAACACACAAAAAAGGTGAAGGGAGACCGGAAGATCAAGGAATGAGGCAATGGTTTGACATGCTATGCCACTGGTTGGAATCTGAAGGCGATGCAGATTTGTACACGCTCGCAGAATTACATGCTAAGATGACCGAATTTAGTGGTGAATCAGAGGTTTACACTATTAAAAGGCTTAAACAAAAGCTGTTAGAGCAGTATAAAGATTTCATATTCTTTGCAGAAATTGAAGGGCGAAGTAACGTTGTCTGCTTCAGCAACATGGCGAAGTACATCATAAATGAAAAATGGTACTCGGAAAAAAAAGAAGACATCAACAGTGAAGCAGAACGAATAGTAACTGCTGCAGCAAAGCTCATAAAAGCTGAAATCCGAGAAAGAAAATATGATTCCAAATCATATCCAACTAATGATGACATTGCAAATGTTAAACGAAGCAAGAACTGGATACCGCATTACCTACAAACACTCTTGACACATATTGTTCCTTCAGAACTAAAACAGAACAGCATTGGACACTGCATTCTTCAGGCTGCCCGACCAAGGTCAGTTATAGCTCCCATCCTGTTTGGCTTAGGTGTTGAGATTGACCATGTATTTGGATCGAAGTGGCTAATCAATGAGTTGTCACGGTTGGGTTTCTCTATCAGTTACGATGAAGTGAACAGGTATAAGCAATCTGTTATTCACAGTGAAAACCTTGAAAACCTTCTTGCAGAGTACTTTCCGGGCACCTTTACCCAATGGGTGGCAGATAATGTTGACCATAATGTAGCCACACTAGATGGCCAGGGAACATTTCGCGGAATGGGAATTATTGCTGTGTCCTCTCCGAAAGATGACATCCCCCTCATCTCAAGATCCCGTGTGATCAGTAGACAACCGCGTTTGAATTTGGATGAGCTGGTAAAGGATAAAGGAGTACCAATTTTCCAGTACACTAGCCCACCAGACAAAGGCTTGGCATCAATTATCTACAAACCAATTCTTTACTTGCAGGCTCCGCACACATTGCCACCTGAACTATGCTTTGACTTGCTTTGGCACTCTGGGTGTATTTTCAGCAAAGCAACACGACCAAGATCAAATTGGTCGGGCTTTATGCAGCATGTGTTCTCAAATAACCGGCATACGACTCCAAAGTCTGAAGTCCTTCTTCTACCAATCATTGATTTAAATCCTTCTGATGAATCCTGCATTTACTCAACTTTAGTTTATATTAAATATCAAGCTGAGAAATTGGATATTCCAACCCCATGCATCACATTCTTTCAACCCCTGTGGCTCAAAGCAACAGATATTATCAAAGCAAAATCAATGAAAATAGTTTGCAGACTTGGAGGCTTTCACACGATGATGAGCTTTATGGGTAGCATTGGCTCTATGATGAAAGGCTCTGGACTAGAGGAGGCATTAGAAACGGTGTACGGGCCTAATGCAGTTATCCATATGATGACCGGGAAGGCTTTTTCGAGAGCACTGCGTGGACACTTGTTGGTAGAGTCTGCTTTAGTGAATAAGTTAATGATATCAGTTTTACCATGCAAATTGAATGAGGACGATACATTTGAAGGTACTGAATCGGGTGAGATGTCGATGGACACCATTGAAATGATAAGTGATGACCAATGCTCATCAAGTGTTATGGAAATTGAAACTGCAATTGCAACACCTGTTAGAGAGGTGGAAACAGGTACTGATTCATATTGCGGAACTGAAATTACGGAGAATCTTCAGGACTCGTTGATCGAGGCCAAGATGGAAATACCTGCTGCAGAAACGGATATAGATATGTATGAGAACAAACTGAATGCTGCAGAAGTGAAGCAGATTAATCACTTGTATGAAGGAATCAAAGATCAATCTATAGCCGTTGTAAGTGTTTCTGAATCCAATGAACTGAAAAAATTGGATCATTGCTTACAAAAGTATAAAGAATTGCTTGCCGAGAGGTCACCAACAGCAAAATTGTGGTTGCAATACATTGAATACGTGGAAACTTTGAAGGTGTTCATTCGTGCTGAAAGAACAGGAGATTGGAACCTGCATCTAGTCGCAATTACGAAAATGTTGAATTTATTTTCCGCAACTGGCCACATCAATTATGCAAAGAGTGCACGACTGTATTTGCAGCTGATGCTGGAATTACGAACAGACTACCCATGGCTATACCATTGCTTCCACGAACAAGGATTCCATACAGTCCGCAGAAGCAATCGCTTCTGGGCAGGATTATGGACGAATCTTACAATTGAACAGGTCATGATGAGATCCATTAAAAGCAGAGGAGGACTGACTAGAGGACGTGGTGTAACAGAGACTGTTCGCCTTCAGTGGATCTACAGTATGCACAAATGTGCCGGGGTACACGATGCTATGACATCTATGACAAATGTAAAGCATAAAACCAGTAGTGAACAGCACATTGATTTCGGAACTTCAAGAAGTAATCGAGATTTTGCTGACCTGAACACCATTCAAGAATGGCTCGATCAACATGAGCCATTCAATTTAAATGAGCCAAGACTACGGTCCTTATCGTCAGGTTTAACAGCATCTGATGGTGATGGCATTAACTGCAACAAGACAGAGGAGGTCGGGATACATATCCATCGAAAGATTGACAATATGAGCGCCGTAGAAGCATCTATTAAAAGAAATGATCAAGTGAGGTCTTTAGATTATCTGCATCCAGGAATCAAAGTTGATAAACAGAAAATTAACATCCACCCAAATCATCTGTTTTACCGCCTTATAGCTATTGCACAGAGAGATGAAAACATGGCTCCATACTTTGACTACGAGCTTACAGCAATGCCAACTTCGCTATTCAAGGACAATTTTATGCGAAAATCTGTGAAATCCCAACTAGCACAAGCCCTCGAGAAAGGTGTTCAGTCCTCTGGAGAAAACCCGCAAGCCATGCATGTTCTCGATGGCGGAGCCCTTATTCATAAAGTGAAATGGCAGAAGAAGGTTACATACAAAGACATAGCGGTGCAATATGTAAACTATGTGCGTACAAGATATCGCGACTGTTGTATTGTGTTTGATGGTTACGGACAGGGTCCGACAATTAAAGATCACGAGCACCAGCGAAGAATTGGTAAAACGTGCGCTGATATTCAGCTTAGTGAAAATATAAAGGCTCACAGTGATCAGCAGACCTTCCTCTCGAACGAGAAAAACAAAAGTCAGTTCATCGCGTTGCTGAGTCGATGCTTGGAAGCTGATGGCCAGATTGTGCATAACAGCACGGGAGATGCTGACGCATTGATAGTGGAAACTGCTCTTCAATTTGCAAGACAGGAAAGAGAAGTAAAAGTAGTAGCAGATGACACGGATGTACTTATCCTCTTAATGTACCACTGGAACGCGAATATGGCTGATATATATTTCCATTCTGAGGCAAAGAGATCAAAGAAAGATTTGAAGGTGTGGAAAGTTCAAGATCTTGTTAACAAAGCTGGCAAAGTTGTAACATCCCATCTCCTGTTTATCCACGCATGGAGTGGATGCGACACCACATCTGCAACATATGGGCATGGCAAAACCAGTCTTTTGAAGAAGATAAAAGATTCAGAAGAATTGCAGCGGATATCTTTCTTGATGACCGATCATGAGGCTACAGTAGAGCAGATTGGCAAAGCAGGTATCCGGTTATACGTTCTCCTATATGGTGGCAGAGCAAATGATTCTTTGAACAGTCTACGGTACTCTAAATACATGGAGATGGTATCGACAAGCAAAGCATCAATTGATCCACAGAAGCTTCCACCTTCAGAAAGAGCAGCATTTTTTCACAGTTTGCGGGTTCACTTGCAAGTTATAACTTGGTTGAAGCTCACAAATGATTACCTGAATCCGACACAATGGGGTTGGAAATTTGCTGATACAGTACTAACACCAGTTCTCACGGACTTGGATGCAGCGCCAGAATGCTTATTGGAGTTTGTAAGATGCAAATGCAAACTATCCTCTCGAAATTCATGTGGTAATAACAGTTGCTCATGTCGTAAACATGGGCTGAAATATGTAACAGCCTGTGGAGACTGCAGAGGAGACAGTTGTCAAAATGCTGAGGAGATCACCCTTGACAACGAAGACAATGTTAACATTGATGAAGAGTAATAACTATTGATTTCAACATGCAGTTAACAGTAACAATTTTGAACAACAGTTGCACTTATTCACTTCAATGAGGGTTAAGCAAAAGTTACTTTTTTAGTTTTTTATACCAAATTTTGCAAAATATGGTGGAACCCTACAGTTCTTCAAAATATGGACTAAAGTCAAACTAAAATCGGTCAGAGATCCACATCTTATTTCACGAAAAGTTTTCTGGTAGACCATATGATCCAGATTAAAGCAATTCTGTATAACGAAATTTTTAACTTGGTTTTTAGTTTCGAATAAAAAATTTGGCTCTACAATTTTTGCTCTAACTCGTCAACCAGGTGATCTCGTGTTCGTATTTTAGCCAATCAGCGCTCAGAAAGGGTTGTCCGAATAGAAATCCATTTTGATGTTTTCAGTCAATTATATCTTTCGTTATTCTTTATGAAACTAGTTGAAATTTTGTAATTATGTTTGGTTATGAGAACTCTAGCTCTGACAAAAATATGGAATCGAAATAAAGTATATTACAGGAGATATTCAGTTGTTTTAATCATAAAATGGATTTCTATTTGACAACTAGTACCAGTACTTTTCCGCGTATCAAGATCATCTGGAAGACAATCGATTGTAGAACAAAAAAGTTTCATTAAAAAATGGGAGTAACCGACCGTTTTCCAAAATTAAGTGCGCTAAAACAATAAGATATCGGCCTTATTGAATCGTTATTGTTGCCATAGTAACGGTAATGACGTCACTTTCGTTACCAATGTCTGACTCTTTGATTGTTGCTCTACATAAGGTATTCATGTTTTGTGTTCCAACGAGTAACATTCTTCAAAGGGTTTGACTTTAATTATGAATAGTCCATATTTTAATGAACAGTAGGGAGCCACCTTAACACACTCATAAAACAAATTCCCCACTTGGGAATTTTGCGGATTTTGGATATAGTATTCTATGACATATTATGCTTCTCTGGTGTAAAAATCAGCTTTATACCATTTTTTTCCCGGTGAATATGCTCAACGACCAGACTAACAAGCAAATTTCATTTAAGGAGGCCCCCTGCAATTTCCAATATATGTCAGTGTTTTAAATTAGAAGCTATACATTTGAGTCTAAAAAAAATTTTTTTGCACAAGCCACTGTTTCCTCTTATATAAAAGAGTAATTTTAACCCACAATCGCTACCCCTCACGTTACCATGACAACATGACGTCACCATCTATATGGCCAAAATCAACCAAAAAGGCCGTCTTAGCGAACAAATAACCATGATGGTGACCTCGGTGATAAAAAAAAAACTGCATAAGAAATCATATACATACGTCTTAAATGCTGATTAAACAACTCCATTGCTAAGGATTCGAAAGGGTGAACATAAATTCGTTTATTTAAGGCTGGTATTCTGTAATTCATGGTACTGATGGCGGTAGTAATCATCTAATAATTGGTTTATAAAATGTTCCGCCCTCCATCGCCCGTCTTCCGCCGTCCGCATTTTATCAATCCCGCATGTTGGCGGCGTTTAAATACAATAAATTTTAGTGAATTAATCGCTGGGCGTGGTGGCGTGCGCCTGTAACCGAGCTACTACGGAGCAGGTAGTGTCGAATGACTTGAGGTCGGGACTCCTGTCGTACGTCGACCTATGTCGATCGGGTGTCCACACTAAGTTGGGCGTCAATATGGTGAACCTAGGGGAACCTTCGTCCACCAGGTTGAATAAAGAGGAACGTACCGGTCCAGGATGGAAACATAGCAGACAAAAGTTCCCGCGTCAAACAGTAGTGGGATAGCACTTGTGAATAGGAGGCGTGCGACAGCCCGGCCAAGATAGTTGAACCCGCTACCCTTTTTGTTTTGTTTTTTTCCTTGTTTCATAGCACTTTAGGAAAACGTTGAATGAATCCTTTCCCTAAAACGGCTTTTTCTATCGAAGAAAAAAAATTATATTCATTTATTGATGTCGGCCCATTGAATCCTGAAACAGTGCCCTCCTCCAGTTTTAATATATTTCTCGAAATTTAATAACATTGATTGCAAATATTTTTCTCTGATTCTGGCAACTACCTTATAACACCACATGTTTCTAAGCTTAAAACAGCTGTATTTTCTTTTGTGAAAGTCAAAAACATAGTTTTTGTGGTAAATTTGTTGAAATTTGTTATGATTACGCTACTCTCCCCAGCCCTTCTTCACCGATTATCATGCGCGGTCATAATGTCTTCGTGCTGGTTCAGTTTCAAAACAAACGTAATAATATGATGTGTGCTGCAGCCTAAATTGATTTGGAAGAAATTTGATTGAATTTTTGTGGTTATGTACAAGTGTTCTATTCCACTGAGACGTTTGGTTTCTCTTAGCCCTCGGGTAAGTTGTGTAAATCAGTAATGTTGTATATACGTGCACTGGTTCATGGACGAGAGAACGTCGGTTATAAAGAGCAGTCTGTAAGTTTTGTATCACTAGGTTCACAAAGGTAAATGCAATCCTTATGTGCCTTATCCTATGGTTCACTTTCAATGAAGTTTATGGAAAATTATAGTAGATTCAGTGTTACATCATTTTACACTGTATCTGTATATTACTTTTTGTGTTTGTTGGTGGTTATGTACTCAGGTGAATAAGATGTTTGGGGTGGTACTCTGAGTGAGAATCTACACCAGGCAAGCTGAAAAGTTTGCCTGACCACGGTGGGAATCAATCTCGTTCCCGAGCCTGCGATCCTCGGGAAGGAACGCGAGGCTCTGGGATAATCCGTTTCAGGGAGGAATCTGATTGGCCGAAATTGACCGTTGAAATGCACAGTTCAATCTTAGCATGGCTTTTAGCCATGTTTTAGGTCAAAATTTCCGAAAATTCGACAATTTTCTGTGAAGGTGGGGCTTCCACCAAGATTTCTGCCACTGCTCATATTCCTTCCCAAGGATCACAGGCTCGGGGAACGAGATTGGGTGGAAATCGAACCTGTGACCTTTGGGATATTAGTGCAATGATCTACCAACTGAGCTATGTGGTCAAGTCGGTTCGAGTTGGTGATATTTCAGAACTGAGTATAGATCTGATATTTGCTGTGTTGGTGTAATGTACTCAGGTGAATAAGATGCTTGTGTGATGTAACGTTACTCTGAGTGTATATCTACACTGGGCAGGCCTGAATACCTGAGTACATTACACCAACACAGCAAATATCATGATTATTAGATTACACTGATATTGAAGGAACTAGACTCAGTTCCGAAATATCGCATACTCAAACCGACCTGACCACGTAGCTCAGTTGGCAGAGCATTGGGCTAGTATTCCAAAGTTCGTAGGTTTGAATCCCACCGTGGCCAGGCATATTTTTCACTCGAGTAACATCACATGAGTATAGTTCCTTTGATGCCAATGATATTCTAACTAAAGATATATGATACTTTTTGTGCTTTTGGTGTTATGTACTCAGGTGAATAAGATATGTTTGTGGTGTTAGTCTGAGTGTGCATCCATACCGGGCAAGCTGAAGTTTGCCTGACCACGGTGGGAATTATCGAACCCACAACCTTTGGGATATTATTGTGAAACCCCCGATATATGATGGGAAGCTAACCCTAGTTCGCCGTGATCAATGTAAAATGACGACAGTGTTTATTATATTAACCCGTTGAGCTGCAGACCTTCCCCATTGATGAGTAAATAGTCTGGCATTAGACAAGTAAAAAATAAGTAGGGCCATTAGGTCGCATTGCGGCTCAATGGGTTACCTGTAATTTGAAATCAAAATGATTGTGATTATATATAATTCCAGAACCACAGCATTTTGAGCTTTGATTGCATGATTTCTAAACCAATAAAATTAAAGCTCTTTCACTAAGGACCTGTTTATATGCAGACGAGTTATCGGGCAAGACGATCAAGGAGTTGCTATCTGATTTCCCATTTGACGTCAATAATACTATGGTGCCAAAACAGAAGGAGGATTTCAGTTGTTTGAAACATTTGAAAGCATTACATACAACATGATCATAAAATTTCAAGGGGATTAGCACTGATAAATTGTGGGAAAACGTGGGCTTAGCCTATTTTATTTCAAGTGCAAGGCATATACCGTACATTTTGTCTTGGGTTTTTCAAGTTAATTGTATAACTAGTAAGTATTCGATAGACTCACCTTCGTTGAACTAATTGTGGCCACCATAAACAGGGCCCTAAGAAAACCAATCACATTAACCCATTGAGCAGCTGTGGTGGAGAAAAAATATTTCACTTTCTGGGACTGCTAGAGAGCATTGAAAATTTTCTGCAAATTATCAAATAAATTGACACTCAGACGCTGTACAGTAACTGTACGTGTGACACTAACAAGTTGTCAAGACTGAATGTCATCTGATGTCATATTTTACAGAAAGAAATGATTTCAATGCACCGAAAGTTTTAAAATATATACGGTAACGTAAAACTAATTTAGAAAGCATGCATCACGGGTCTGATCATATTAAAGGTAAATACAGATGCCAAAAAGGGCTCTATCAGGGGGATCTATGCTCCCGCAGAAAATGTTGAAAATCAGGTGTCCTAAATTGGCTAAAAATGCATTTGCCATACACAACATTTGTTACATCATTCTATATAGTCTAAGGCATTTATACATGCACTATCACACTACAGTACGTATACAGTATGGAGATGAATGCACTTACAGTATATATGAAACTTTTGCATTTTTGACTAGGTCATGGTTAGAATTTTCCTCTCTGAATGAATTTCTCCTTTATCTTAATGATTACATTTTTTTCTTTCCTGGAAAAATATTTTCTGGAAACTCAAAACATTTTCTGTGACCAATGGTCCCATGGTCTGATACTTTTCCCTCCCCTACTGCATTGAGGAACTGGGACAATGCTCTCCCTATATGAGAAAACGGTGTGCCACGAGACGGGGTCAAATAAAGTCAAGTGCGTTAGGGAGGGATAATGCAACTTAATGAGTAAATTATATATGAGAAGAAAGTGGTACGGTTATAGACAGTACAGTAGGTCTGCGATTAACCCTTTGAGCAGCAGCGCATTCTCCCCTGACAATTAAAATTTTGTGGTGTTACTGTAGACAGAGTAAAATAATAAAATAGGGCACAATGCAACATAATGGTTAAACATATATAGAAATCAACAAGCCAAGTTAAATGTTCCTCCTTTCCTCCCACATGGAACGTTGACAGGGTAGGTCACAACCCACTAAACCTTCTAACTGATCCCTAACCTAACTAGCCCTCTACATGACACTTCCATCCTGGTTGTGCTAATGTAATCAAACATGAGTAATTTATAAGGTGGCTGCTAGAAGTGCCCTTCGTAATTACAAGTCTTTGACTATATGAGGTTGAGCTGCATCCTTTGCAATTCAGCTAGATCAGCTCTCTCTCAGCTGCAAGGAAGGATGATTAGCACCCCGCTTACTTACTATACTTACTTTAACCCTACAAATTTCACATGAATGTCATGTGAATGTCATGTAAAAGGGGCCTAATTGGTGACTTTCAATACTCAGTATTAAGCTACAGTATTTTGTGGAGCTAAATGGTGGTTTGACATTGGGGGCAAGAAAATTAAAATTCCAATTAGCCTTTCTCACGCCGCCATTTTTTGTGTGGCTTTTCAGCTGAAGTCTGCGAGATAAGTCCACATAACAGTAACTTTTTATAATCTCTTTGACGAATATGGTAAATTTGCTTTGTAAATGGTTAGTTTATTTTGAAAAATTGCTTTTCACGTTGTTTTAATTGCCTGCATTGGTTAACGAGAATAAGATTCCACCGGCCAAAAATGGCGGGTATTGGTCATCGTGAGAAAGGCTAATTGAATCGAATTTATGCATAGGAAGTTACTGTACATATATTTAAACGTTTTTGGTATCGTTCAATATATGAATATGATTATGTGTTGAGTAATTTGACGCAGCACGCAAAACAGTAGCAACTCTTTGCTCTTTAGTCAGTTGAACCATTTTTAATCGACTAATCTCTAAGTTCAATTAGAATTTTCATGTACAATTTATGCAGTCTTAATATGCTCGTAAAAAACGGTACAATCGATTTCGATGCGTTTTAAACTGCCAGGGGCCGGTTGTATAAAAACGTAGTTAGCGCTAACTGCAGTTAAAAAGTAGTTAAAAAGTAATTAAAAAGTGGTTAACTTTAATCACGTAGTTAATTAGAATTTTCATGTACAATTTATGCAGTCTTAATATGCTCGTAAAAAACGGTACAATCGATTTCGATGCGTTTTAAACTGCCAGGGGCCGGTTGTATAAAAACGTAGTTAGCGCTAACTGCAGTTAAAAAGTAGTTAAAAAGTAATTAAAAAGTGGTTAACTTTTAACTATGCTTTAGGGTATAGTTAACTGTCCAAAACGTAGTTAAAAATGGCGTTTGTATAGGAGTGAACAACATTTTTCAGTAAAACAACAATGAAAAGCAACGCTTACCTGAGATTTTCAATCGCTATCTTCCCTGTGAATGTTTCCTGACAATATAAACTCTTCAAATGCTATCGCTTTGGTGTTTTTACGAAAACAGAACATATTTTTGCACAGGAGGATTTCTCGAAGAAGAAGTATGGTCCATTACACCAAGAAACACTGATATATAATTGCCAAACAGCTATACCTTGGTTTAACGTAGACATCTCAAGGAAAAACTGCATTCTTTTATGATTTTTGTGGCGGTTTTTCCTTGTTTTCTTCCTTATTTTTCACTGTTTTCTAGTGTTTTGAATAAAATTCCCGCCTATTTGCAAAATACGAGTCCACAATCATGTTGAAAATGTGTGTCAGCGGTCGTTACTCGCTGCTTACTTTATGTAATTTTGTGTTTAAACGCCCCACGCAAGCCCCACGCACAGTTAACTACGTGATTAGTTAACTATCCGACTAACTACGTTTTGTGCAACGCAGTTAAGTCATGTAGTTAACTAATTACAGTTAAGGATTTAACTACAGTGATTAACGCTAACTACAGTTAGCGCTAATTACGTTTTTATACAACCGGCCCCAGGAGTAATTAAGTTTGGATGTTTATAACAAAAGTGTGATTTCGAAAGGTTCGTTTTTGTTTGAGACACCCTGTATATAGCGTTGGACTGGTATCCCAAAGGTCGCAGGTTCGATTCCCACCGTCGTCAGGAAAACTATTCAGCCTGCCCAGTGTGGATACACTTTCACAGTAACACCAGAAACATTAGACGGTTTTAGATAACAATACGTGGACGTCAAGAGGACGTGGATGTCGTCATTTGGCGCCAACTATCGTCAGCTTCTAGTTTGCGACGTCGTCTTGGACGATTTCACGACGCGAAAATACAATTTTCACGTCCTCTCTAGAACGTCACAGATTCCCGCTTCTTTTGAAAAAAATATGAGACTATGCATAATAAAAATCATCCTATTTTGTTCCCCATGTATTGTTTCATGATACTAGCTAAAGTTTTTCCATTGACAAGGTTGTTTTTCTTGTATTTCGCTAAATTTTAGACGAGTTGATTTTCGACAAAATACTTTCGGTCGCCATAAGCAAATCAACAAAACTGCAAGCATTGTTAATAACCACTTCAATACCGCTAGTAATCTTCACCAAAACAAATATTTTAGAACAAACTAAACTGAAGTTGTATTAACAACTGTTTAAAATCAGGAAAACGTGGGAAAATAGAAAAATAAAAGCACTTAAAAGCAGTAAAAACTCAATCAATTTTAGTTGCTCTGTCACAACAGTGCAAAAAGTAGGACAAGCAAAAAAACGCTTTCCAGCGTGAAAAACTATTGTAAACAGTATTAAATTTTACCAATATAAACACTGATGCTATATTTATACTGAACAGTTGACAAACTTGATTGAATAGGCTACAATTAGCTCGTAAACAATACCTGCAGCTGTTGTATTTATTCCAAATGATGCAACAAAGTTCACTTTTCAAAATACCAAAAAATAACCTTTTTTCTAAAAAAAACTTAATATTGAATGTCCATACTAATTCATCAGGAAACACTTGCCCAGTATTATATAGCCTTTTCTTGCACATATCTTGACAAGTGATTGAAAACAATACAGGAATGAACAGGTAACAAGAAAACAAAAATTTGCTTCGAAAAAGACAAACAAGCCGTCCCAGATTAAAACCCGGAAGTGAACGCGAGGTGCATACGTCATTTTCACGTCCTCTTGACGTCCGCGTCTTGTTATCTAAAAGCGTCTATTGTAACTGGTACAGTAGTTCTTTTTTACCTCATACCAGTCGTACATATTGGTGTACAGTATAGGTGTACAGTAGGTATATTCGCGGTCACCTCGGTACCTGCGTGCAATTGTGTTCCTTCTTCTAACTCTTAGTTTCAGGTTACTGAAAGGATAACTTTCTTTTTAACCTGTACTTCATTTAAAGACCGTAAGTATACTGTATACTTTGAGTCTTAAGTTTGTACCAGTTCAATTGCGCGGCAAGAACCGTTGGAGTAAAAGTCAGGTACGTCGACTAAAGTCTTAAGATATTGAATTATTGCTAATGAGGTGTGTTCATTTGCATATATAGGCCTTGCCATTCCTTCGTGAACGTCACGATGTACCGTTAAATCCAGAGTGGGTTGCTCTGGCCAAGAAGCAGCTTAAAGGAGCTGATCCTGACGAACTTTTGACATGGAGAACTCCTGAAGTATGTAATGTATGAAGCCGCTATGAAGGATGTAAAAAAAACGGGTACCTGTAACGCAGGTTTCGTATAAAACCTGAAAATCTTTGAAAGCCCTTGAATTTGGAAACAAGAGTTTAAGGCCTTGAAATTAAGTCCTTGAGTTTATAAAGAAGTACTTGAAAGTGCTTGAATTGTTCTTGCGTCAGTGGATATTTTCTGAAATTGTTTGGTGTTGAGAATTGGACATTTTGTAAGTTCACTTTGCCGTTTGAACAGTTTAACGTCACTTTTGACTGATTTCTAACGCCCTTTTCAGCCTTTAGTCCTTGAATTTCCTGATGCATGACGTTGAAAGTGACCTGTCCGAACTCTGGTAACGTTGTTAACATTGTTGCTACCCAAATATTGTTTTAGTTTATAGCAGCATACTGTAGAATAAAACAAAGATAACTAAGCAATGGAATTATGTATAAGAGTTATTCACCCATGCATGTAGATCATTCTCAAGCTTAGTTACGTACTTATCACTTATTTACTGAGACCGAGGGAAACAGTGTGTTTTGTGAAGCCGAGACCAACAACGGCGGTCGAGGGGCCCCAAAACACACTGCTTTTCCGAGGTCTCAGTGAAAAAGTGTTTTGTTATATAGTATATAAGTGTCAAAGTATGAATAATTCACCGGCTGTTGGAGTGAACTTAATTTGAAACCAAAACTGGATAAATGGAACGCCGTAAATGTTTAGTAAAAAGTTTAAAAAATGAACTTTGGAACTTCATGGTTGACACGCATGCGTATTGCACCCATTTTATTATTCACCGGTCAATAAATCTTTCATTGCGGACCGGTTTGCCGGACATGACGTTTTGTGGACCGGCACGTGACACGGTTTTGACCAATCAGCAAACGGAAAAATTGAACTTTGACACTAACTATATAACAAAAACCCTATGCTTCTATGAACTAGAACAATTGTAACAAAGCATGTGATTTATCCAAAGTTGTCAATTGCATGGGTATAAACAAAAATGACCATGTTTATTGCTGAACAATCCTTGCAGGTTTAAAAATTTGTTAGAATAGTCTATACATTACAGAGCCTAAGAAACGAATGTTCTTTTCAACAAATGACAACTAGGGGTACATCTACAGGGTGTTCCAAAAAAGTACACCTTTTGACATTTTCCCACAGACGCAAAGCGGACGCATGTAGTGCCCGCACAGTGGACGCACCCGCAAGCGCCCGCAGACGACTGTCTACGGAAAAAATATTTTCCACGGCGCCCGCAGGACGGACGCATCCGTAGGCGGATGATAGGACGCAAGATACCCGCGTCTTGGACACGGTTTTTGATAATTTATTTCTTGGCAGTACTGTATCGTTAATAATTTGAATGCTTGAGCATTATGTTGAACTCACGGAAGCAAAAGATATAGGGTGTATATTGAAAAACGAAACTTAATAAATAACTCCTGGCCTGGGAATTTAAAATATAGCTGCTAATCATTAAGGGGCCGATTACATGGAGGTTTTCAGCCCGGGATGAAATTTCAGCTCGGCAAACCGGGATGAAATTTCATCCCTGGGCTCCTATAAATTCATTATAAAATGAATTTTACGATTACATGGAAAAAAATTTCAACCCGGGCTGAATTTCAGCCCGGGTTGAAAGTTTCATCTCGGTTTATGTCACCCGAGATGAGATTTTCAGCCCTGTCAACCAGGATGAAATATCCCATGTAATCGCAAGTAAAACTATAGTAATTTGTTATGTAATATGTTACTAGGGAATTGATATAAAGCCGTTATACACCAAAGATGATTCTGTTGGACATGAAGATGAAATTCCTGGGAAATATCCCTATACACGAGGTCCGTATCCTACAATGTATGCCCAAAGACCGTGGACTATTAGACAGGTATTAACTTATACTACGTGTACACTTACAGTATAGTACGGTATGTTACACTGATTTTGTCAGATTTTGATTTAGACGTGTTTAGAAATATATTGTACACAAACAGCCACATACATGCAATATTATAGCCCATTTTTGTACTGCCTAAATATTGTAACTGCATGGTTGTATTTTTTAATATACTGTATGACCACACTCAAAACATGTACAGTATGTGAGATGGGTGTCCCGGAGGCCGGATCAGCATAATATTTTTATATTTCACAGTACTCTGGCTTCAGCACAGTGGAAGAAAGCAACAAGTTTTACCGAGACAACTTGAAAGCCGGGCAACAAGGACTGAGTGTTGCGTTTGATCTTCCAACACATAGAGGGTGCGTACTCAATAGGTTTAGAACATTTGTTTTATACCAATTGTCAGACCCACGTCCGAATACTATAATATACAGTACTTCAAAAACATACATCAGTATCAGTATAACGTGATACTTTTATGAAGTTCGAGTAGAGTAACATCGATATTCTACACAGCAGGAAGAAGTTCTGGCAGTCTTGTTTAGGTTGAAGAAACATTTAAGGTATAATGTTTAATACGACAAGAAAAGCGGATAGCGCTATCCACCCGACAGTATTTTTTTGCAGCAAATCAATCACACAAACATTTTCAAGCTTCCTGTTGACTGGACAGGACAGATATAACCCATATACATGAAGCTTTAGCATGAAAAAAATAAAGTTCCCTTTTACTAATTGTGGGATCCATATTTCGTAGTTTGATCATGTAATTTTCAAGCATTTACAACGGTTGAAAAAAATCAGTATCCGGTATGGGCGGCCGTTACCACCAAAAATACTACACATGTGAAATGAATGGACATAAACAGAAATCATTCATTACAAACACGAACGAGTCATCATGTTTAGAAATGCTTGAACCTAACGTAGTGATATGACTGGACAAGAACAGAAATGATTTGTTTAAAATTGAAACGATTCACTTGATTGTGTATTCATTCGTCTATTATTGCGCTGATTCATATAGTTCAAGTGAAATGGCCTGGCATATTTTGCAATGACTTAGCAGGTCGTATACAAGTGACACGTTCGGTTGGCAAATAATTCATGCTTTTTTAGAACCATCCGCTGTGTTTTAAAATAGCTCAACTAAATACGAAATGATTCAACTAGATGGGACGTGATTCAACCTTATGTGAAATAAATAAACTAAATGTGAAACGACTCAATGCAATCTGAAATCAATCAGTTAAATGCGACATCGTTCAACTAGATGTGACACGATTCAATACCATGCAAAATCACTCAACTAAATGGAAATCAATCAGTTAAATGCGACATCGTTCAACTAGATGTGACACGATTCAATACCATGCAAAATCACTCAACTAAATGTGAAATCATTCAACTAAATGTGAAATGATTCAACAAGATGTGAAATGATTCAACAAGATGTGAAATGATTCAACTAAATGTGAAATGATTCGTGTCCACGTGAACTGACACGACATGTTTTGAACTGACGTAATTTGTGCGGTCTTGGCACGTCTTGTTGTGAAGTGATTCATCAAGTTGTGAAGTGAATCAACAAGATGCTTCCGTCTTATTGATTAAACTTCCTTCGAAGAAAATTTACGGAAATCACAATGAAATTTGTCGGAATAAAATTTACATATGGTAATTCACTGCCCGAAATGAAAATTAACTATCGAGTATCGATCAAAGACCTTTCCTCGACTCGCAATTCAACGTTCGCAAATAGCAATTTTATATCGCGACATTTCCCAACCTTTTGTGTGCGTTTTGACGGAAAAAATATTTCTCCTCGAAGATCTCACTATAAGTATAGGTTATTTTGAGGCAACGAAAATAACGTACTTATTTTGCACATTGCGAGGTCGCGTTAATGAGTCAGAATAGAAATAATTCTTATTGCGATATTGCCTTCGTTATGTTGTTTTTTTTCTCATTTTTTGTGCTGCAAAAACATTGCAGGTGAATATTAGAGGGGATTATTAAACGGAAATTGATTAGAGGGGAATATTGAATATATTCCCCGATAAGAACAAAGGAAACCGAGCAGGGTGAAAAATAAAATATGTATTTAAAGATTTATAATCTGTTTTTAACCTATATTTCCTCAATATTTTCTGTGTTGTTGTAATATACTCAGGTGAATATGATGCTTGTGATGTTACTCTGAGTGTATATCCACACCAGGCCAGCTTGAAAAATATGCCTGACTACGGTGGGAATCAAACCTAATTGAACCGCGTAGCTCAGTTGGCAGAGCATTGGTCTGGTATTCCAAAGGTCGTGGGTTCGATTCCTACCAAGGCCAGGTATATTTTTCAAGCTTGCCCGGTGTGGATATACACTCAGTCTCAGAGTAACATCACAAGCATCATATTCGGCTTTAGTACATTACAACAACGCAGGAAATATCAAGGGAATATATATAGGTTAAAATCAGATTATAAATCTTTAAATACATATCTTTATAGTGAGATCTTCGAGGAGAAATATTTTTTCCAGCAAAACGCACACAAAAGCTTGGGAAATCACTTGCGATCTAACGTTGAATTGCGAGTCGAGGAAAAGACTTTGATCGATAGTTATTTTTCATTTCGGGCGGTGAATTTCCATATGTAAATTTTATTCCGACAAATTTCATTGTGATTTCCGTAAATTTTCTTCGAAGGAAGTTTAATCAATAAGACGGAAGCATCTTGTTGATTCACTTCACAACTTGATGAATCACTTCACAACAAGACGTGCCAAGACCGCACAAATTACGTCAGTTCAAAACATGTCGTGTCAGTTCACGTGGACACGAATCATTTCACATTTAGTTGAATCATTTCACATTTAGTTGAATCATTTCACATTTAGTTGAATCATTTCACATTTAGTTGAATCATTTCACATCTTGTTGAATCATTTCACATCTTGTTGAATCATTTCACATCTTGTTGAATCATTTCACATTTAGTTGAATGATTTCACATTTAGTTGAGTGATTTCACATGGTATTGAATCGTGTCACATCTAGTTGAACGATGTCGCATTTAACTGAGTGATTTCAGATTGCATTGAGTCGTTTCACATTTAGTTTATTTATTTCACATGAGGTTGAATTACGTCCCATCTAGTTGAGTCATTTCGTATTTAGTTGAGGTATTTTAAAACACAGCGGATGGTTCTAAAAAAGCATGAATTATTTGCCAACCGAACGTGTCACTTGTATACGACCTGCTAAGTCATTGCAAAATATGCCAGGCCATTTCACTTGAACTATATGAATCAGCGCAATAATAGACGAATGAATACACAATCAAGTGAATCGTTTCAATTTTAAACAGATCATTTCTGTTCTTGTCCAGTCATATCACTACGTTAGGTTCAAGCATTCCTAAACATGATGACTCGTTCGCGTTTGTAATGAATGATTTCTGTTTATGTCCATTCATTTCACACGTGTAGTATTTTTGGACTGGTCGCAGGGTCTTAGCGAAGATCAGCTGCAATTTGAGCGTCCAAGTTTGGCATTTACCTTCCGATTACTATTTTTGTCTTTGAGGTCTTGCAAAGAAGACTATAAAACGCGGAGAAGATTCATCTATAGTATGAACTTGCGTTTTGGTCTTAGCCAAACAAACGAATTTCTAATTCCAGTAAGCCTATACAATGTACGATAATAACTTATCAAAGACCGGTTGTGTATGTTCCATGCTCGTACTATTTTGTTAATTGAAGCCATCAAAAACTGTGTACAATCGACAATATTTTTGAAGCCGTGCGAATTGGCATGGATAAGATAATTGATCGTCATTTATAAGTGGCCGTCCAGATTCAAAATGACTGTGAGATTTAGAGTAGGCGGCAGACTAACTGGGGCCATGCATGCAGTCAACTTTCTTTGAAATAACTCCTGTACATAAAAAATAGCGCATGCACTTGCGTGCATATTCTATTCTAAAAACACTCTGACTGCTTAAAATTTTCCTTGTTAACCCATGCGCACCTGGTTATTTATAACCAGGTCAAATATAACCAGATCCTGGGTTACAGCAACGTTAGCCTGCGAACAGGCTCTCAAGCTAAATTGAGAGCCTGCATTGATGACTAATGAATTTGAATATCTGCGTCTCAAATCGTGACGCGAAATTCTCATTGGTCAGATGCTATAATTTATATGTTTCCGCTGAGCTCTATATATGTCAACTGCTGAAGCACTATGCATAAAAAACACATTAACTGATCAAATTGGTCTTGACCATCTTATCTCAAAGCACGAAATGTTCTGTTTTGAGAAAACAGTATTTAAAACATTTGAACTTTTGCTTCAATATCTTATATTTCGAAAAACAGTATAAACTGTACGGTCTAAATTTAGTTTGCACGGTCTAAATTTATAGTTTGCACGAAAGTTGTCAACAACACCATATAAGGATATACATTCCATATTTGGAAAAACGAACGTTACGGGGCAGATATTCAAATTCATTAGTCATCGATGCAGGCTCTCAATTCAGCTTGAGAGCCTGTTCGCAGGCTACAGCAACGTGAGTATCGTAGGTCGTCAGATAAAATGACCCGGAAATTTAACCTGTACCAGAAAATTAATATTAAGTTAACCCAAATATTAAACATACATGAAAAATTTTCTCAATTCTGATTGCAGTGCAATTTTTTCGAAATACATTGCAAAAAAATCATATATACATGTGCCGGGCAAAAAGTGAAACAAAAAAAAACCCCGAAACATTAAGGGTGACAAAATTTTCTAATAAAATTGTGATATTAAAATTATCTGTTCCGCACATACATGACTGCATAATAAGTATATAGTACCGTTTCTCGTGTAATTTGGAAAAAACATACAATTATGCACTCATGACTTCTCAAAGACTTCAAATTGTGCACTCGAAACCGTACTATACAAATACGAACCAATTAAGGAAAACTAAGCAAATGTATTGATGCATTAAGCAAATATCGATCACCACCTATATGGCTATTTGATTGTCAACGAGTAACAGTGTACGGTGTTTCTTTTATTATGTGATCATGTGTAATCCTTTTTCAGGTACGATTCAGACAATCCCCGGGTATTTGGTGATGTTGGTATGGCCGGAGTTGCCATTGATTCTGTTGAAGATACAAAGGTATACTTGTACGATTTTTAATCATTCATTTTCCTTAATCTTTAATCATAATCCTTAATCTCAGACTTTCTTGTTATTGTCATTACCTCAAGTCATACTTGTGACGTCACAATGGAATGAGAGGAGATACGAATGAACTGTGAACGTCATTCTTCATCATTTGAGCAGTACCTTTCAATAGAACAATAAAAATGAGGCAAAAATTCGTTTCATAAGCATTTTAATGACACTTAATAAGTTTTTATTTTGCAAGTACATTTCAACAATAGTAATATGATCTATTAGCAATTCGATTTCAATTCCCAGGGGCCTAAAATCTTTTATGCTTCTGAATTGCAAAGTGGATTTCTTAAGTTATCTCATAGCGTATTAGCGGCTTTCCTACTTGCTACGAGGAGATGCGTTCAATCTCGAGCCCACCTGCTGAGGTATGTTTAGGAGGTGGGCTCGAGATCGATGTTTGGGCGGCTGCCATTATGAAGCGATTTGAACAAATTTCAGACGGAGATTTAAACAAAAATTAAATTAACTGTTTTTAATTGTTTTATAAGTATTATTTTTTATTTTGTTTGATAAAAATGGAATAATATGTATTCAAAGTGGAAGAGAAGAAAGACGACCGCCGAAATTTGTTCGGTACGGGCACCTGCTACTAATATAAATCTTGGCAATGTTTGCGCAGAATGTGTGCATTTTCTCTTTTCAAGAATAAGGGAATATTGTGGAGATTTTTTTTAGCTTCAATTTAAGCCTAACTTTGTTTGTTTGCGTAGTATGTTGGCGGCTTAAATGTTCGTTATCCAAACAAGAAATTATATACTATAAGATGCGTAAATTCTTGAGTATACTTTTTACCGAAATGGCATGTGATAAAAACCAAACATACTTGGAGGTTCAGAACATCGGAATTTTATAACAAACATACTTGCAGGGAGGTGAGTCCGGGATTGGAATCACTTCAGGTGGCTGGACGTTTCCCGAACCCACCTCGCTTCGCTCGGTGATTTTGGGACACTTCCAGCCATCCTCGGTGCGTCCAACCCGGACTCACCTACCTGCAAGTATGCTTGTTATAAAATTGCGACGTTGCGTTTTTTTTATACACCCTGTAGACTCCCAAGAATTACAATGAAATACTGGTTCTGATTGGCCGAGTGGGTGTGATCATGTTCTAAGGAAGGGAAATGCTAGGTTTATACGTAATACACTGTCGGTTAATGCGCTGGATAGGGCGGGTTTCATTATGAATTCATTCAGGAAATATTATTTCATTCAGGTTCTGTTTGATGGTATTCCTCTGGAGAAAATCTCAGTTTCAATGACAATGAATGGTGCTGTACTACCGGTATTGGCAATGTATATTGTGGCCGCTGAGGAACAGGTCAGTCAACGATTGATAAAGCTTTGTGATTTTGGCCGAGGGGTATTTGAAGAGTGCGATGACGCGGTGAAGAATTTTCTTAGCTTGCGTGATTTGGAAACATCCAGAGTAGCATCATTTTAAATAACTTTACCGATTTTGGATGAAAATGAAATACTGTATACGGTGCTTGGCTTTTGCATTTATCTTTCCACTTGGCAAACCAAACTAGATCGAAAGTGTGTTAATTTTTTCGTCGAAAGTAATATCATTATTTTTCGCACACATATTAGGGTGTAGACCAAGATCATTTGACTGGTACGATACAGAATGATATCTTAAAAGAATTCATGGTCAGAAATACGTACATCTTTCCACCAGAGGCATCAATGAAAGTTATTGGAGACATTTTTCAATATACCTCGAAGGTACAGTAATTGCCTAATAATTTGTTCTCGATACGCTATCGCGCAACATGTTTTGTTCCGTTAAAGGAGCAGTGTCACCTGCTGCGCATCTTTTCAGCGCACGCGAACAAGTTCTCCAATCCACTATGGCGTATTTACCAGGCGGATTCACAAATTATATGCAAAAATATGTATTGCTTCGTACCCTACAGCTTGCCGTACAGGACTTCGACAGAGTATTTTAGTCACCGAACAATTTCCGAAATTCTGTTATGCGCTGAAAAGATGCGCACCAGGTGTCAAAAATTTCCAATTGTTTCGCCCACGCAGGACTTGTCAAAAATTTCCAATTTTTTCGCCCACCCTCGACCTACAGCTTGCCGTACAGGACTTCGACAGAGTATTTTAGTCACCGAACAATTTCCGAAATTCTGTTATGCGCTGAAAAGATGCGCACCAGGTGTCAAAAATTTCCAATTGTTTCGCCCACGCAGGACTTGTCAAAAATTTCCATTTTTTTCGCCCACCCCGGACCTAAAAAATTTCCAATTTTTTCGCTCACCTCGGACCTGTCAAAAATTTCCAATTTTTTCCCCACCCGAGGACGTGTCAAAAGGAGGTTGATTAGGTGTTCAATCATTTCAACATTCAAGTATTTTGTAAGTTAGGGGCTGTTTATATGAGGCGAGCCAGCTCGGGTACCCAAGCTAGCTCGCTTTAGGCGGGATCCCGTCTTTCTTAATATTTCCTTCTAAATTTCATGTTGTGTTTATATGAGATTCGAGCTGGCCCGCCTAACCGAGGTCCCGCTTCGTGTGACCCGGGACCTCGGGTAAACGGGCTGGGTAATTTTCCATATAAACGCAACAGGGAGAGCTAGCCCTCCTAGTAGGGCTGGAAATTTAGCAAATACGCATGCGCAAATAATTAGAATAATTCAGAATACACAAACAACTCCCATATAAAAACCAACGTCCATATATAGAGTTGTTTGCGCAAAGAAAATTAGAACAAAAAGAGCCAGCCTTTCATGTAACTTTTATGTAAACGCGTGGTGAAATTAATCTCGGGGATGCGAGCCAGCTCGGGTACCCGTGCTGGCTCGCTTTCATATAAACAGTCCCTTAGATGTTGAATCCCAATGTCGTTTCCTGGTCCTGCGGTCCTCGGGAAGGAACGTGAGGCTCTGGGCCATTCCATTTAATATACACCCGTGTGTATAATAATTTTCTGAATTAACTATGAACATTAAAACATTTTCTGTGAATATTTCTGGAAAATGTAGATGTTTTACATTTGGTTCAACCTTGCTGTATAATTCTCTTAAGAATATGCCGAAGTTTAACAGTATATCAATCTCTGGTTATCATATGCAAGAAGCTGGAGCTGACGCAATTCTCGAAATGGCTTTCACTATCGCCGATGGTCTAGAATATTGTCGAACAGGTATTTTTGCCATGCGCATTCTGTTTTTCCACACAAGGTTTCTGAAGCAAATGAAAATGGTTTATTGCCCACTAGCTACACAGAAATGCAAGCCTGCTCCAGTGGGTATTAAGTTTGAATATTTGAGAATTTTAGTCCATGACTCCCTAGAACATCGTTGGTGTTATGACCGTTTGAGCTAAAGTCGCTTATATATTCTTGACTTGTCCGAGATTTACTACTTTTAATAATATAATTATTGTTTTTGAGTTTAACCATTTCAATAGTTTAAAAAATATTATATAAATCCATGCATGAGCATATGACCTTTTATAGGAAATTTTGTAACCACAAAACTATGCAGATGCAAGAGAAAAATACACGAAAGTAAAACAGTGCAACCAGAAAATAATGAAATAAATGCATCAATGAAAAAAAACAATCAAGAAATAAAATTAATATTGTAAAGTTCACGCTGTTAAAATTATAAATTCATGCTGTCATACACTATTTTAAACATGTTACACAAAACAAATCTAAACTAAAAACGTGAATTCTGTGAGTAAAGATGTAAAGATTTGCTCATAAATTTGGGTAATTTCACTCGATACTTTCAGTCACTTCCAGTGCATTATCTTACTCCAACGATATGTGCCAGCGTAGGTAGTGACAGGTATTGAGTGGGGATGCAACTACCTGAAAAATACAAGGAAAATTTCAACGTTTCGAGCGAAGACCCTTCTTGTATTCTTCGAAGTTTTCCATGTATTTTCAGGCAGTTGTATTCCCCAATAAATCCGCAGCTTTTGCATTCGTGCAGTCAATTTTTTTATTTAAATTTTTTGCAGTTTAAAGTGCCGTCTTTGTTATTTTTCTCTAGTGCAGAAGTACGCGCAGATTCCGCTTATTTTAAAAGCTAGGAGACGGGTTCATGGTCGGGTCCTGGAACAAAAATTTCTGTGCTGTATATACTTATTATTAAATTTGGAACTTTGCTAAAAAAAATTAGTACATTTGCTCAAAAATGGGTCATTGTGGGTGGATTATTAAGTCAAACGACTTTTGAGTCAAACGTCTCGATAATTTTTTGCAGTGTACTGAGTGTATAATAAAATGAACAACTTCTTGTACAATGAATTGATTTTCTATATTTTGTTTTCACCGAAGGAATCAAAGCTGGTCTCGACATAGATAAATTTGCTCCACGTCTCTCTTTCTTCTGGGGAATCGGCATGAATTTCTACATGGAGATTGCAAAATTAAGAGCGGCAAGAAAACTGTGGGCAAACCTTATCAAGAAACACTTCGATGCCAAGAATCCTAAATCTTATTTGCTAAGATGTCATTGTCAAACATCGGGATGGTCTCTCACTGAACAAGTACGTATACCGAATTTGACCTGGGATGGATTTACTCGTGGGATGGGATGGATTTACTTTGCAATGGGCGTGCAAATTCCTTTTTCAAATCTACTTGTTTATTTCCAAAGGCGATTCCAACAACAAGAATAAAATAAAGGCTAATACGATAAAGTGAAAACGCGCATGGAAAACACTATTCTTAAGTGGTTCTTATATAAAACAGTAGATACTTCGTCAGAAATCAAGTTGTGTTGGTTCTTAACTGGTTCTTGATTATTTCTAGTTATACCTGTTACGTTTTAGGAAGAGTAACTACTTTCAGACTTTTGTAATTTTGTTTTTTTTATTTTAAAATCAACCCTCACCCTTATTCTATAACCCTAACCATAATCCTACCATTTCCCTAATACTAACCCTAAAAGTCTAAAAATAGTAACCGTTCCTAATTCGTGACTTAAATGTTTCTAGTAAAAAACTATTGTTCCTGCATGGTTTGATGTTTTTAATTATTTGCTTCCCTAATTATTGAGCTGTTTACATTATTACAGTAATAATAGCTTTTTAAAAGCCTTCGAGTTCGACGGTGGTTTGTAATATTTTCAAGCAAGACTGCAGACCAGTGCCTTGTTTCCGTAGCTCCCTCTGGCTATAGTGTCCAAGCTTTTGAGCAAGTGTACTGTATGTGTCATTAAAGAACTTGGCAAACTTGAAGACGTCTTTATCCGGCTTTATGTTGTAATCATTCGGTCTTTTTGGTTGGGAAATATGAGATAATACTCCATTTGGGTTCGTCTTGGTTCTCTTGTAGTTGTGCATAGGGTATATAATTATCTCTGATATTTAATTTTTGTAATTTTGTACCAGGTTCCGTACAATAACGTCGTCCGTACAACAGTGGAAGCGATGGCAGCAGTCTTTGGTGGTACCCAATCTCTTCATACTAACTCGTTTGATGAAGCACTAGCGCTACCCACACCATTCAGTGCTGGGATTGCACGAAACACACAACTGATCCTACAGGAGGAAACTGGAATCCCAAATGTGAGTTACTCCGACGCGCGGTATTCATGTATACTCTAAATGTTCTCTATGCTGTCTAGCACTTGAGTAAGATGGAGCTTTTCACGTGATCCCGGTTTTTCTGGAATGGGTGGAAGGCAAAATCAGTTTGAGTTATTCAAATAAATCACTAGCTTTACACAAAAGTTCAAACGCCAGTTAGAAGAACTTAATGGTGTTGAGAAGATCTCGTGGTTCAAGAAAGTTATCGTTGTTGCTCGAACAACGTTTCGTTTACAATTGTACTATAATCTGTCACTAGATAAATAATATAGCTTTGCAGGATCGTCAATATCATCCCGCCTCATATCTCTTCCCGTGAAAGCGGGATCATTTAAACAACGCCTCGATGTTACCTAGCCTGCGTGCTGCCTGCAAAACACAAACACCCAAATTAAAGGCTTATAAAAACTGTGTTGGGGAAATGCGGCTCTTGTGCATATGTGAATGAAGACCAAGAAATGTAATAATGTACAGTGGTTTCAAAACATTTCATAGTAGACGTTGCGTTGGGAAGAGTAGGAGTTGCAACCGAAAGCCGAACTTCGCAACTTGGGGGACCGTGGAGCCATTTTTGGATTGGGGGGCTATAGCAAACGCTGAAGGCGAGAGTTTGTTAGAGAGGTTATGAGGCGTGCTGCCCCGGGAAATTTTGAAATCTGAGACCTCCCAGAGCCCCGGAAATGCAACGAAATTAACGACTTTCTTAATAAACGACTTCGCTTAATCTAATATTACCCGTCATCTGTTTAATCCAACCAGAAATAGATTGAATACTTGGCAAATATAAGTTATAAATATATTGTTAACTGATCTGCATGAAAGAGTTCAGTATTCTTATTTTATAAAAATCATATATGTGTGGAAAATTATTGGGGCTGAGGCCCCTGTTCCGCATGCGGTTCCTGATATTACTTCCAGAAAATTTTGAACTTCTAGACTTTAGAAGATACATTTTCCAGCATTTGTTTTTGAGACACAAAAGATCTTATTTTAAATGTCTAAAACACTGTTAAATTTATGTTCTTATAATTAATGCCTATGTCAACAAAGTCTAATAACAATAGCGAACACATCTCCGCTGGCTTTCGTTGTCGTTTTTCCGCCATTTTGTTTTTGTTCTTGGAGACGAATGTGGCATCTTACATAAAGTAAAACCTGTTAGAAACCGCTACCAAGAAAACCTCTGAGCCTGTCCTCAACGCACAAGAGACGCGTACGTATCAAAGCTTCTAATCTAGTAATATGTGACTGTGGCTATGTTTTGACGAAATTCCAGGGGAAATACACGCTTGTTTGCTCACAAAACATTTTGTAAACGCTTAATTAGAATTTATAGTTACTTACAAAAGAGAAAGTAGCCGTCGCAAATGGAAGAGTACGGAGCTTTAGATTTGACTACGAGTACGACTACGAGTACGAGATTTGATCGCGTGCTAGGAAATTACCGTAGTCGTTTTCGTTTTCACTCAAATGTTGTTTTTATAGCAGTAAACCAACAACGAGAGAAAAAGTTTCATAAACTAAATCTCCTGCAGACTAAAATCCCCTACAAAACGTGAAAATAAGTCATAACATTAAAAACAGGCCAGATATTTAGTATTAATATATTATTTGCGCCGGATAAACGCTATATAAATGCTAGAAATTATTTTTGGAAAACAAAAAAAAAGTCAACTTTCTTTGTTTTTTTGAAAAGTCGTCGTGAGGACTACGAGATTTATCCGCAAGTTCGTTCTCAGATGGGCGACGGCTACGACTTTTTCGCGTCAGTACGGGATGGCGTAAGCATACAGCATGCGTTTTCGCTTGACGAATCTCGTACTCGTAGTCGTACTCGTAGTCAAATCTAAAGCTCCCTAGTTGCAGTCGGATGCGACGGGCGACGGCTTATTTTGGAACCACTGATGTATACATGGTTGGGCGTATTGAACGGCTTTGGTCAGGAAAACAGGGTTTGTTTGGAGGCTCTCCTCATTCCGCTTCAACGAGGGCCTTCCACGCAGGCCACGTTGTACTGCATTGCCTCTTTTGGAGCTTATTATTTCCCGGTGGTTGTGGGCTGGGAGGTTATTGGAAGATGTTGCGAACTAGTGGCAGGATGCTAAATAAATACTCACGTTCTTTGTAATTTATAGAATCGCCCTCCAATTTCATACAATTTTCTCCCAAAAATTGTTAAGGCAAACTTTTCAGCTTGCCCGGTGTGAATGCACGCTCAGATTAACATTACAACATTACAAACAACATTACATGTAGTTGAAATCAGAGCATTTTTACTCTTATAGTTGATATAAGTGCGTCTTATCCGTTCAAGCACCTCGGCAATTTCGACTAAAAACAGGATTTGTTAATTGTTGCATTTAAATTATTGATTGTTAAACCACATGTTGCTATAGTCTGCAATATATTGAGATTGGTAGTGAGTAGAGGGGTGGATTTGAAGCAGAGGGTGAGAGTTTTATTCTTTTCAGCGTTTCTGGATTGGAGACTTGTTAGAGGTGTGTGGCGGGAATACACGGCGTGGAGTACAGTTATTTAAGCGAGAAAAAACATACACGATGTTTGTTTATTTCTGTAAAGGTTATTGATCCCTGGGCTGGTTCGTATCTCATGGAATGTTTGACTGACGATTTGTACGAGGCCGCCGAGAAAATTATAGAGGAGGTAATATGGAATGCTTAAATAGATTATAAGAAATTCTGTAATTTGCTCATTAATTAAATGTATATAATAATTCATGTCATAGCAATGGGAGTGAAGCCATTGTTGTTTGTAAAATCATATGATTGTCTTTCAAGGTTGAAGAACTTGGTGGAATGGCCAAGGCTGTTGCAGAAGGAATGCCCAAGCTAAAGATAGAAGAATGTGCAGCTAGGCGACAAGCTCGAATTGACTCGGGAAGTGGTCAGTACATGCACTGTTGTTGTTATGGATGCTATTGTTATTATCGTTGATATTGTTACTGTATATTGATATTATACTGTTTTCTTCTCTCTGTTATTGTGTTTGTCGTTTCTTTTTGTTATTGTTTTTTGTGGGTATCGCCGTCATGTCCGTCGTCATAGTTTTACTCGTGGTGGTTCTTCTTCTTTTCTACGTAGAATACAGCTACCCCGTGTCTATATATTTGTATATACAGCAGGTATACGTGTCAAGGTGATTGTTTTAAATTAATTCAGTATATGTTACTGCCCTTTAGAAACGATTGTTGGGGTAAATAAATACCAACCTGAGACAGAAGAAAAGGTCGACGTACTGGTTATTGACAATACAAAAGTTCGTGAAAGCCAGGTAATGTTGACTATAATTTTGAGTATAGTTTATGACCTCGTCGAACTGTATGACGGCCTAACGTTGGCAATCGATTGTTCGTTTTAATAAGCGGATGATCGAAACCAGCCGTGCACAAAACGATATATGAATCAGTTTCCATCCGGACTTAAAATTAAGATACGAGGAGATGTCATGTGTCTATGTACTCAAATGAAAGACGCGGACTGGTCGATTACGAAAACGAACCGATGGGAACAGTTCTACTGCATGTACAGTACGTCCCACGCCACTCTTATTGCTACTCACTACAGCTTGTTTATGTACTAGTAGATTGATCGCGAATGTCATCTACTAGGATATTAGCATTTCTATTTCGTGCCCAATACTGCATGGTATCTGGTTTACGAGAACTGCATTCACACGTTACAGTATTCGCACACCACGCAGTATTTTAGGCAACAAAATCACTTAGGCAGACAACCAGGCTTTTAGCCAGGAGGGCGTCCTGGGAAGCCCATAGAACAAAATATAGACGCCTTTGGACGCCCAAATTCTGGGAAAAAAGGGAAATTATTTTCAATGATAATATATCTGAAACAAAATGGCTTCAATTCTCATTATTATTATACATTAATTTGACATTTTGATCAATTTGATGGTGTACAGTACCCGACTAAATGACAATGTGATAGTTAAGTAAGGAAGCATAGCGGCACAAACTCAGTACTCAGAAAGCCAAGTGTGTTTGAAAAATTTCGAACGAGCTTGGAACAGATACTGATATGAAGTAACGTAAACTTCAAAGGTTTTCCAGAGGAACGTTTTCTCGAACCCCCTTTACTGTAGATGTATCGTTGTACCAAAATTGGACGCCCTCTTTTAGGATCCTGACTAAAAGGCTACAGACAACAGTATACAGAGTGAATCTACAATGTTTTATAAGCTGTGCAGTGGTTGTCTTTTTCTAGAGACCGCCTATAAATTACCGTCCATTTGGCACTTTGTGTCAAGACATTCAACAATTAATTTCGCTCTGCTATATGAGCTATATGGCGAATGAGTGCGTTTTGTGATGCTTGATCATACTGTACAGTAGTGTATTCCCTTTATGGTAGTAAAACAATTTGGTACAATACAGTATCTTGCACGTTTTTCATACCTGAATAGCTTGCATGGATAATTATAGTGAGCGAGGCATCTTGCATTTATCTATTTTAATTTGAATAAGACCGCTCACCAATTTCCGTTGACTCCATGTTCAATACTTTTCCTGTCAAAACTAACTTCCGTAATCAACGCTCCGTCTTCCGCAGATTGCAAAGATTTCAGATATCAAAGCAAGCCGGGATGCGAAAGCAGTAAGTAATATATCGTTTCTCTTTGAATGGATTTTAAGGGGAAAAAACTTAACAGGAATGTTTCGAATTTAATACATGTCAAGGACTGATAATTAACAATTTTTGAATGAGGTTGAGCACAATATGAAGAATTATCAAGCCCAAAGTTTGCCGTTATCAACCGAAGCCGAAGGCTGAGGTTGATAACGGCAAACTGAGGGCTTGGTAATTCTTCATATTGTGCGAAAACCGAATTCAATAATTGTTTTATTATTTATTTAAAAAATTCAAAACAAACGGTTATCTATTTGTTCGCCCACGTCACGTTATAAATCAGGAAAAGAATTAGGAAACTGAGTGTTCTTACCTATTCTAGAAGCTTTTGTTCATCTTTTTGCATTTAACGAATCTTTATCTTCCAGTAATTTTTGAATTTCGGCTTCGCCAAGGTTTGCAAACCTTTCAGTGGAAGAAGCCATTTGTATTTTATTTGTATTAAGACTGAAAAAACAATTCCTTAGTCCTTCGGTAGCCGTTGTCGTCATAGCAATGGCGTCAGCGAGTCAATATGATTCTCGTTGTCATAGTAATATGGCGCAAACGCGTCCAAATTTTTTTCATATTGACTCTTTGACGTCATTTTGCTATTATGAATGTGAAAAATCCGTATTTGGTTAGCCATTGAGTTGATATGACAATTTCACAGTTCGCTGTAAGCCAATCAGAAACCAGGAATTTTTTAAATAAATAATATTGTTTAGAATACGTTCACACAACAGCGGAGCGAAATAATGGCCGCATAATTTAAGATTTAAGAATTAATCATTTTTTCCAAAATAGCGGTAACAACTGAATTGGTTTGGAATTCCATAGTATGACAATAGAATATTAGGTGTATGCTATATTAACAATTAAAAATATTACGCGTAATTAGATAAAAAGTACTACGGTATATAATTCACATGTGTTCACAATACTCCGTTACAGTTTGTTTACACAAAATTAATTAAATTAACACTCATGTAAACCCAGAATATTTCGAATAGAGCAAAGAAATTTAATAAACAAAAAGCATCCAATTTTACTGTTTTGAGACCTCAAATGCTTTGTTTCAAAGCGGTACCAAAGCGGTACCAAAATTGACGTTTTCAAACTATTATGCTCCGTCGAAGTCCACGCCGTTTCAAACCGCTCCAGCGTATAGCGTCAACGTGGTCTTATAGTGACACTGTGAATCCTACCAAGCTTAGTCCGGATGGAAAGAACAATGTTTCTCTCCAGAGCAATGTTCGATTACCTGTTCATTATTGTTGGAAAATTTGCACGGCGAAATATGTTTATGGACTTCGTAAGAAAATAAGTTAGTTGAAGCGTATCCATTTAATGACGTTTGTGGAACCGAACGACCCTAGGCAGACAGATGAATTATCTCATGTAAACACGAAGTGAGAACCAGCCTTACGGGGCCGAGTAGTATGCGTACAATTAAATATAAGTTCTATATGTCGCTGTCGTTTCTTAGGCAGAAGAGGCAATGTTGGCCATCACCAAGTGTTGTGAAACTGGAGAAGGAAATCTACTGGATCTAGCTGTGAAGGTTATTCAGATTTGTAATGTTTAATTCGGACGATTATCAGAATCGAACCTTGCCGGCATTGCTATTGTTTTGTTTTCAACATCAGGAATCCCAGTGGTAGTTGCTCTCTGTAATTGTATATAAGAATGAAGTTAATGAACAGTATTTAAAAAACTGCAACTAAGATTCAAACCTCTCAAATGATTTTGGCAAATACGCCGTTTAACCTGAGCATGCACTGTCGGCAATGGTTTTCTCGAGTTTTCGTTCTAGTTAAAAATCCCTCTAGTTTATTTTTCCTCTATATATGTCACACAGTCCGTTCACGATGTTTTGAGTCCGGGTGGGTATCGCTATATTGCCGAATTTAGGGATCTCGGCAAGAAGCATTGGACTTCTCGCAATGGCTGTACTTCAACACATGACTCGCGGGTTTCTCTCGAAAATACATGATGAAAGATGTATATGTACTATGTCTCATTATTTATGTGATACGATTATACTGTTATAGGCTGCAAGGGTCAGGTGCACTGTTGGGGAAATAACGTTTGCGATGGAAAAGGTATTGATTTGTAGAATTTGTCAACTCGAGACGGTCGTTGTACGGAGTAAATGAGGTGCTTTTTCTTTAATTCGCCAGGTCTTTGGAAGACATGTAGCCAGTGATCGTATGGTCAGCGGTGCTTACAAATCTGAGTATGGAGATTCAGATGAAATCACGCAATGTCTGAATGAGGTTGCGGTGAGTTGCACTTATATGTATATAATAGACGTGAACAAGAATAGTACACAGATTTCGTATGCTGTCAAAGAAAAGTTTAGGAGGCATTTTTTGCTATGTTGCGTATTTGCAACGAAAATCTAAAATCATTTTGACGTACCATTCAAAATGACTTTGTTTTATCGGGGTTTTTCTAGTTTATAGTGTTAGCTAACTTTGTCAATGCATCTGACGGTTCGAAAACATAAAATAACATTGCAAAAAATTGTCAATTTCAATACGACAATTATCAATGATTCTTCAAAATACACTCCGAAATTTTCTCTGGCGTGCAATTTTAAATATGAATCTTCGTTTTAGCATTTTTATTGCATTTTTTATATGATTTGTTTGACGACTGAGAAATGTATATAAGAAATGTGTATAAAAAATGGGGACGAAGTGCCATGATACTATATATTCGCTAGTTTAGAGCGTGAGTAGCGTAACATACAAAGAACACTTTTCAATTTCGTTTTTTCATAATTTTGAGAAGGGTATGTGTGTATAGTCTTAAAAAATCAAATCAAAACATACAATCTTAAAACAAAAAAATCGTAATGTACTACATGTATGCCCCTTCTGTCCCAATATCGCCCCTTTCCTACCGTATGTAAGCCTGTGAAAAGGTACTCATCAACGAACAATGCCAAGCACTTATATTCGTAGAAATTTCTCCTCCTATATAGAAATTTGTAGAGGCTGAAGGACGTCGACCTCGTATTCTTGTTGCCAAGATGGGTCAAGATGGCCATGATAGGGGAGCTAAAGTGATTGCAACTGGTTTTGCCGACTTAGGATTTGATGTTGACATCGGGCCACTATTTCAGGTTTGTTGCGCTATACTTTATCGGGTGATATCGATTAAGTGACTGAGACGATAAATTTTTAGAAAATATCGATTTATTCCATGTTCGCCTTCTGGTGACTGACTCCCCAAGCCCATTTTTGAGTGAAATTATCATACAGTCCTCGAAATTCTCCACAGTGTTTCAAGGAAACATTTCAGCTTGCCCTCGCTCGACACACTCAGAGTACTGTAACATCATCTGATTTACGCATGCTCAACTCTTCAGCATCACGGTTATCCTACCATGGAAGAGAAAGTAGAACGCTGTACATGAAGTTAACTATGAATTTTTTCTGTGTTGGTGTAGTGTACTCAGGTGAATATGATATTTGTGGTGTTACTCTGAGTGTATATCCACACCGGGCGAGCTTGAAAAATATGCCTGGCCACGGTGGGATTCGAACCTACGACCTTTGGAATACTAGCCCAATATCCAACAGGATGCTTGATAGGTCTGACCGTGCATGTTTTCCGTTGTTGACGTTATACATTTCTCAAATTCATTAATAATTCATGAGCAATTCAGCCAATGATAATCACCTATTTGATCACAAGATGCCATTTGGATAACCCGGTGAAACTTGATGAAAGTCACTAGTGTTTTCATCAAATATCTTAATTACGCATGCAAAATTACTTGAGTAGAATTCCTAATTACGTTATGCTTGGTTAAGAATTCTATTCAAATCAGCAAACGGAAACATTCTGTCTCGATTCATTTGAGAAGCCATATAAACAACTCGAGCTCGTGTCTCACCGGTAAAACACTCGCTCTCGTTGTTCATATATTACATACAATATGGTATTTATTTTGTACAGACTCCTGAAGAAGTTGCTCAACAAGCTTGTGATGCTGATGTTCATGTGGTTGGAATTAGTACCCAGGCCGCTGGACATAGAACTCTTGTCCCTCAACTGGTAGAAGCCTTGAAGGCAAAGGACAAAAGGTGTGTCTAACGTTCTCATTGTGAAATACACATTGCCAAAAACAATAAAATACTATCCAACATTCAATTTATCTTGAGGTTCACTAACGAATATATCCGAACGTTTTCCTAGAGATATTTAACTTTTTAAAACATGTACATGTAGGCCTAAATAAGCTTAGGACGTGACTGAAGTTGCATGCCAACTATTCGAAGAAGCGCCAGAAAGCAATATTAAATGTTCAAGCTATGTCGGAGATTATGACAGTACCACACTTTCAGAACTTGTGAAGCAAACCCCCTAAAAGTGCAAAAATATTCTGACATCATCCACCTAAAAATATCTCTATCTACACGTCCATACAATTTGAGCCGACGAAATAAATCCTCTAACTGTTCTTTCACAGAAAGTAATCAACTATCTTGTTAAATGTTTTCATACTGTGTTCATCAGAACAAAGATACTCAGCTAGATTAATGCATGGCTCCGTTCACGTATTGACCTTTATGCACCATGCGGGAGACGCGCGTGTTTTGACACCTTAATTTCGTCATTTCGTGGGCGCAATAAGGTTTCAAAATGTCTTCCTGAAAGAACATCACCGACGAAAACGATTACCTCCATTAGTCGCTATTTACTGCCAAAATATTTGACGTCATATATTTATTTCCTCAAACATATGCAGGATGTATTTAACATCATACAAGACAGAATAAAAGTTAATCAGCATTCATGTTAACCTGTCTAACTGTCAATTAAGCAAGGTGCTTAATTTAATGTATATCGAGAAATTAGGGCACCACTTATTTCTTTTAAAACCTGACATTAATTATTTACAGGAACATACTCGTGGTTTGTGGTGGAGTAATTCCGCCGCAAGATTATGATTTTCTCTTTGAGAAAGGCGTTGCTGCTGTTTTCGGTCCAGGTATGTTTTCACGTTAATTTGATCCTTTAAATTATATGTTCAAAAGCTGTGTAAATCGAACAGTGGTTTGATTGACACCTTTCGCCTCCAACACAGTCAACACTGCAAATTGCAATCACAAACATTGACATCACAGACCTAATTCAGACTCCAACTCTCGCAAAATATCTCAAGAAACGGTTTTTGGATTGAGGGTGTAACAGACACTACCGCTACCGTTACCGTTACCATTAACTAATCAGATGCATATATTATTCTACCCAGTTAAACAATTAAATGTGTTGGGAGGTGATGTTCGTTCATTTGCACTTCAAATCTCCAGAGTTGTTTCTACAATTATATATACAGTACTCTCCCAAACACCACAAACTTTCTTCCGTGTACTCCAATGTCCCAGTAGTAGTTATACATTGAACCAATTACTGTTAGAATGTCCTGTTGGTTTATCTATGTGTTTTTTAATGGCTGCCGAGTTTATTAATAATTTATTTTAATTATGCTTTAAGGTACAAGAATCCCACAAGCAGCAATGGAAGTATTAAGGGCGATCTCCCCTGATGAGCAAGGTAGACAAACAATGGCATAATTAAGACGTTGCGTTAAGAATTCTACAAATAGTTGCCGTGCAGTAGATTGTCCAAGTGAGGTGAAGAACTCTGAAAATACCTGTTGGTTGAAATTACATAATCTAGGAACACTAACTATAGATGTAGACTACTGTATGGCACGTTTCCTGCGAGGTTTAAGGAGGTTCCCTACAGTTTCCAATATATGTCAGTGTTTTAATTAAACTAAAAGCTATTTGAATCTAAAGCACAAGCCGTTGTTTCCTCTCATATAAAAGAGTAATTTTAAACCACAGTTGCTATTCTTTACGTTACCATGACAACATGACGTCACCATCTATAAGGCCTACATCAACCAAACTTCTTAGCGGACAAATAACCTCGGTGACCAACCTTTTATTGCAGAAAATGCATTGTTTTAAATTTTTTTACAGTTATTTGAAAATCGTCAGTGTAGTTTTCGAAAAACTGAATTTCAGTCTTTAAGATTGCATTTTAGCCATTGGAAAGGCTGAAATTCAGTTTCTCGAAAACTACATAGGCAATTTTCAAATAACTTTCAAAAAAGATTCAAAACTTCATAACAATGTACTTTCTGTATATATATATATATATATATATATATATATATATATATATATATATATATATATATATATATATATATATATATATATATATATATATATATATATATATATATATATATATATATATATATATATATATATATATACTGTATATATATATATACTATATTGGAAACTGTAGGGAACCTCTTTAAGTTGGACAAGGACACTGGCTTTGTTGCTAAAGACGGCCACAGGTCTTGGTTTAATGTTTAATGGTTTTGCATTTCAGACTTTGCTTGCTTTGTAAACTACATGTCAATTAATCTGCCGAGTTCTGTAATTCTAACAGCTTAGTGGTAATATATTCGTGATGGATGTGTACTGTGTAGCCTAATATTATATTTCCTTGCTTTGAAATATTGGAAATATTGTGTATTCATATTTAAAAGATAATTTTGTTATCATTTAAAATGCATTCTCATGTGCAGGAAAATGTGCAAGTGAAATAAATTTTGCAATTAAAGATTTATATTAACGTTTTTTTTGTGGTGTTCTGTGTTCTTTCTGTTACGTTTGCCGATTTAATTACGAGATCACCGGTTCTCATTCCAGTTAGCTAGTCCAGGACGCCCCTGGAACTCATCGGAAATCGCCTTAAACCTCGGAATGAATATAGACAAAATACGAACGCTATTGTTCGGTTATCACTGATTATCCCCGAGCCGACGGCGCGAAGCGCCGTGCGAGGGTACTAATCTCCCCCCGGCTATTTACAACCGGGGAAACGAAAGCATTAGCGGAGTCTAAAGTTCATCAAATATCGCGGGCGTGGGTGACCAACCGTGGGTGGTCATCCTCACTGATCTCAAATATATGGCGGACTGTCATGAATAGCGGACACTGATTGGTCCAATTTAACATTTGCATTATAACGTCTGCATGACGACAGCGAAATAGCAAACATTTCTTGATTTGAAGATTGATGAATTTTTTGCTCGCATTTTTGCAAGATTTTGTAAATTTCAAAAGTTTTCTCATAAAGAAAGGGCAAAAGAATCGGCTAAAGCCTGGTTCACATATATGCCTGCGACGTGCCTGCGACGTACCGGCGACGATGCCGGTCGTAGCTTAAAACGTAAATTATGTGTATATTTGTTCGCCGATTGCCTCCAGTGCCACAGTTACATCGGCGGTAGGCCGGGAAAGTTGACTTGAGTTCAACTTTGCCGGTATTTCGGGGGCAAGTAGAGGCATAATGATACAGTCGCAGGCATACCGCAGGCATATGTGAACCAGGCTTAAAAGAAGGGAGCCGACGTTAACGAAGGTAAGTTTTAAATATTGATTTTATAATGAATTTAAAACCCGACGGCCTTTGCGTATATGAAACAACTAAACAAGACATATAATTTCAGTGTATCTTTAATATTGATTCTCTTTTTTATTATATTGAATTTTTTAAATAAAAAAGAAAGCAAAGTTATTTGCAAGCGAGAATTTGAAATTATTTTATTGCAAACTCAAAGTTTATCGATAAAGCCATTTAATTATAAAAGGCTGTTTAGTTTTATAAAGACCACTTTAAAACGTTTTGCGAAGCGTTTGTGGTTGAATTTTATCTTAAATTGAAGTCTATATTACGTATAATAACATACCTAACATATATATGTTAGGAAATTGATAATTTTGTTATTAAAAGTGATATTTTTTTGAGATTTGTAAGAATATTCTTAAAAAAATATCGTGTTACCATGACAAAAATATCGTGTTACCAGATACTTCATGTTCGGAAAATACAATGGTTTTGTCAGCAAGGCGAGTGTTTCTGCATGCAGGTATTTTCTAGTAGTTTGTAATATTAGTGTATTTCGGAATACGTTATTTGCTTACTACATTACATTTTTAAAATTTATTTCTAAGCAGTACTGCATGTGCGTCAAAATACGTTTCTCAGTTGTAATTTGTTGTTTCGATCAAATTCAGTCAATCCAAACAAAAACATAACAATCTGTAACTACATGGAATAAGTCGTTTCTCGAGTCGATTTTAGCCACTCATGTGTCGAAGTTTCAGCATTTTTATTAGCAATTAGTCATCGGCCGGCTATAATGTCGTGAGCTCTGCAAATTGTCTTAAGGTTTCAGGACACTCTTTTTGGCGTTTTGCGGAAAATCTCTATTGCGCGCTCAATATCAGTCCGATTTTCATCAAATTTTCACCAAATGTTCTCCAGTGCATGCAAAATATGGTAAAGTTGTAAAATTGACAAACAATGGAATAATATAAGAATTATTCAGGAAAATCTTAAATCGCGGTACCTATACGCTTTTGAGTTATGTTCCTGCTGGTTTTAAGATATATTTATGAAAATATAATTTTTATGCAGTAAAATAGTTGTTCTAAAAAATCGTGTTCGGAAATTTTTGTTTATTTCGTCATTTCGCAGATATGGCAATTTCTTTGACGACTGCAATATATTTCTGAATCGTTTGAGTGAATTGCTTGCTATTATTAAAATATCCGAAAACCATTTTGAAACTGACGTCTGTAGTTATGTCCTGTGAAAATGTGAGAAAAATTCGTTAAAACCCGCAGGAGAACAACTCGTTTGAAACTCAGTAATTGCCGTAAAATTCTTCCGGAGAAAATTGAATTTGAATATTACATTTTCAATGTTTTTCTTATTACAGCGAAATGTATTTTATTAAATAACTCTGCGAGTTTTCAACATTTTTCGTTCAAACTTGGTCAGATAGTAGAACCAGTCTAATGCTTTCATTGAAACCAATAATAAAATTTGGACAAAATTAACACTCAAAGGTGTTCTGTAACCTTAATAATTCAACTACCGAGTGAGATCCTCGCATGAAACCGATAAAATTTTCTTGCGTATTCAAATACGGATCTATACATATATCTTTCCGGATTCGTTACGTTTTCGATGTGGGATATGGATTGTTCCATCGTGCACGTGACTAAGATTCTTCTTGTCCCCGAGCCAACGGCGCCTAGCGCCGTTCAAGGCGTTAGCCCGGGGCGAGGGTGCTAATTTCGCCCGGCTATTTACACCCGGGAAAAGGAACGCAATAGCGAAGTCTAAAGTTCATCAAATATCGTGGGCACATGGCTATGATCCAAGGGTGGACCTCCTCACTGATCTCAAAATATGGCTGTTTGCCAGGAATAGATAAGCACACTGAGGATATTAAAGCAAGATTTCGATTTTCAAAAGCATATGCGTATTTGGAAAATCACGTTTCACACAATGAGCTTTGAAGGAATTTTTGTGTGAAAAAATGAGAAGAATTTATTTACTATGGAAAATCGTGAAATATAGGGCAAGTTTGCTTTGAACGTTTATTAATAAATATTGTTATATAGCTAGCGTGAACACCAAACGTGATTGCCTGATTTGTGGTCACGTGACTTCAGATAAATGCAATGTTTCCCGCCGGGCAACAAGTGCAAAATTGTTGCCCGCCCCGACCGGCCACGTACATAAATAAACAAAATGGAGGCACAACTCAGATAATTAGAAACTACGATTTTCCAAGTTTGTGTTCAAGTAAAGAATATAAAAGAGAAGAAAAATACACAACAGGCAACAGGATATGCTGCTGAAACCGTTTAAGTAGGTTCTTTTAATTTTAAACTCGTTTACACTATAGAGTTTTTGTCACGAAATACAATTGTTGTATGAATGTTGTTGAAGTTCATTTTTGTTCGTCGCTATATAACAAAACACTTAATGCCTGTTCCCTCGGGAAATAGTTAGTTTTGTTTTCCCTCGAATCTTAATGTTTCCCTCAACTTCGTCTCGGGAAACATTGAGATTCTCGGGAAAACAAAACAAAACTATAAACTATTTCCCTCGGGAGCAGACATTAAGTGTATAATGATTAATGTTTATAAATTTTGTGGCTTTAATAATTTATTGCGTAAAATATGCACTGCTGGGTTTTTTTCAATGAAGCTGTAAGTATCCTAAATTACCCTGTTTAATTTATTAAGAAAAAAAAGTAAATGTAAAGGAGAGCAAATTAATTTGAAGACCTAAGTTCACATTGTTGAGTAATTTCAGTTACTAACTGAAATTACTCAACAGTGTGAAGTAAAAACAGTTTATCGGCAAAAGCAGTTTAGTTATTAAAATGAACATTTCAAAACATTTTACGAAGCGATTCAGGTTAAATTTTACATTAAATCAAAGCTCACAAAATCCAGAACAACATACCTACAGTACATATTTCGGAATTTCTTTGTTATATAGTTAAAAGCAATATTCTTTAGAATATTTTTGCCGTGTTGTACAAGAGTATAATAAAAATTAAAATGATCGTTTTGCCGTTCAGTGTTGATTAATTACTAATACTTCATGTTAAATTAATGTTTGGAAAATATGGATTGCTGCATGCATGCATTTCTAGTTTTAGGCATAAAATATATTGCATCCTTGCTGTCTTGAAGTAAAGTATTCAAGACACGCATGAGTGCTGGATGCTTTCATATTTGCAGGAATTAACGTATTAGAAAACTTTCAAGTAGAAGCGCATATCACAAGTGATTGTCAGTATCGGAAAATGATAGTTCTGGGATAAGTTCCTGTAGCTGAACGTTGACTGTCATGAATATGAAAGCGAGGAAATTCAATTCTTTTGGAATGTTCAGTTTCGTTTTCCTCTTCAAAATTAGTTGCATCTAGGGAAGAGCAACCAACCTCCTCTTTCTATTTTTCTTCCTCATACTCTCTTTTTTTCCATAAAACTGTTTATTCTAAGATGGACGGTCTTATACTCTTTTAAACTTTTTTCTTGGAATTTGTTAAGTGTTCTCTATCTTTGCACTTGCTGCAAATTTTGCTCAGTCTTTTGCTATGTTAGCACATTATTTACATTCTCCAGGGAAAGTGACATTCATTTGATGAACTATGGATAACAAAAACACTGATAGGAAACTCGTGATCACACCCAGTATGATGTTTCCGGCGTACAGGTACATTGCAGGTTTAGAAATAATCCAGTTGAAAATATGTCTTAAAACCCCTCAATATAACCACTTCACGCTACGATGGGATGTCTGAACATAGCTATTCACTTTCAGGGAACATTTCAAGCATGAGACCGTAAAACAAGCGTCCCAAGTTTCAACTAAATCAACGACGGTTTTGGGGGCGACAATTTCCTGACTGCAAATTTAGTAAAATGAAAACAAACAAATATTTCGAACACTTTGTCGTGGCACCAGGAAGCTTTAAAAGCAATGAAATCTTTTTCGAATATCAATTTCGCTGCTTTAACGCAGAAAATAGTATAGGGAAATTAACGAAAGACGCGTAAATGTATATACGAATTTTAAACAGGTTAATTGGTCAAGTGGCGTCAGCTAGTTTCCTATCCATTTCCTATCCATTTCGTAAATGAAGTCGAAACTGAAGTGTCAAATTTTCATCACTGCATACTTTCACATTTAATGCACACTTGCGCTTTTGGGCGAATATCGCACATTAAAAATATACGTCGTCTTTAATGCAAACATTTATTGAAACGTTTTAACTCACTGCACTTGACTGACCTGATAGTTTGAAATATGATTCAATTTTCAAGTGACGATTACTCAACCTTAAAGAGTACCTTGCTTGAAATGTGGGTTCCAATCGTAGGTGTTCATACACCCGCTGATTTATGGACAAAGAATTACGTCAAAGCCTTTTGCTCTATTGTTAAGATGGACAACTTCCCCACTGCACTACAGAACAAGATGAAAAGAACAAATGAAGAATTTTGCAAGCGTAGCGTTTTCAAAACAAACTTTCAGAGTTTTTTCGATACTCAGCCACCCTTTCAACTCAGTGAAGCAATACTGACGGGAAGTTTGAGTGAAGGTCTTTTTCTCTATTCGCTAGAGCCACCAGATATGGACATCATGTGTGTGTTAAAGAATATCACGTTTTCGCAAGAAGATCAGAAAAACGGTAGCTTGCAGTTAAGAGAAGATACGCCTTTTGTTTACGCATTTGTGACAAAGAAAGAGACACAACAACTCTGGGGTGAGTTTTTTTACGATGTTGGTACACAAGCAGGAAAGCATCGGTTGTCCTCAAGAAAATTGAAAGAAAAGCTGCAAGATAACTACCAAAAGACAAGCAGAATGTTCCATACTATGGGCGAGGAAGAGCTTGAACAAATTAATGAAGGTGCAGCAGCGACCGTTCGTAAGCCTAAACCTTCATTGTCTTCCTTCCAGTATTTTGTAGAAATATTTCAGAAGTTGTTAAGGCAACCAGTGAATGAGCTATATAACCTACACATAGATAGAAGTCAGTTTCACGATGACATGTTATACCAACTAGTTCCTTCCAGTGACATTGTGTTGTCTATATACTGCGAGGGATGGCCATCCTGTGCGAGAGAATGGATGACGCGAGAACGACTTTGGCCTCAAATACATTCAGTGGAAAAAATCACACAATCTGGATTTCATATTGTCCCAAAGAGTTCGTCTGATGGAGATTTTCGTTTGTCTTTCTCTGGTGCTGAATCCATGTTGATCGAGACTCTCTTACCATTACAACACAGAGTTATGAGAGCTTTCAAAGCGGTAGTGAAATATCATGAAAACACCTGGAGTCCAAATCTGAAGGATATTATATCAAGTTATCATTTGAAAACTATTGCATTTTGGCATTTCGAGAAATCCTCACAAAAATCTTGGACTGAAGAAACTTTAGTTCATCATCTTGTTACATTACTCCAGGAGTTCGCAGAAGCTTTGAGAATACAAAATCTTCCAATGTACTTTATGCCAAAATTTAACCTCCTCCAAGATGTTGACGATCCCGAAGTCACGCTGGACTTAATGGAAAAGATTTCACAACTTGCACACAATTTCTCTGCGATATCTGAAGCTGTACACAATTGCAATACTTTAAAATTGCTTTTCGCGACTGCCTCCGATCATTATAACCTTGCAAACATATTCGTCACCTTACGTGAAGAAAAATTGAAAAAAGCGCAAGAAAACTGTGAAGTTTCATTCACCTTCTACGATGTCTTCGTAGCTATGGAGAAACTCGTAAATAGATAATTAATGTAGTTCTGACATCTGATTTATTTGTGTACTTAGACCACAACATGCGTCAAGAATTCCTCCCATTATATTGTGGTTTTGCTATACTGTATACTGGTCTCATATAATTGGTTCAGGATATTCAGCGCAGCATAATCAGTTTAGTTTGATTTATAGAGATTGAGAATATTATATTGTCATGGTTTTTTACATTCAGTTAATTTGGTGTACAGTTTGAGCGCATGTATCCAATTAAGTGCAGGGTTGTGGTTATAGGATTGTTAGCAGGGGCGTAGGAACTAAGGGCGGGAGGCAGGGGGGCAGACCCCCCCCCCAAGTTTTGCCAAGTGCCCTTTTTCTGGGAGCAAAGTGCCCTTTTCTTGCGTGAAAAATGTGTTAAGAATCGCCTTTTTTTGCCCAAAGGGCACTTTTGAAAACTTGAATTTATGTTATTTTCCCGAAAATATTATTCATTTGGGGGGAAAATATGATATATCGGGAAAATTTTTTGGTATATCTGGAAAAATTTCTTCATATTTAGGAAAAAATGTGATATTTCCGGAAAATTTTTTTTGGTATATCCGGGAAAAAAAATTTTAGATGCATATATCCACATACTTATTTTAATATTATGTTGGACAAGTTGAAATTTGGTGGTGCCAAGCTAGCGACTTTAATGATGCGCCACTATCGCGGACTTTGTAGCTGTATGCCTCAAGGAGCTTCTCAGAACGGAATATCTTTTAAGTATGCTCACAAATAATTTATCCCTATTCTATTATGGGACCAAAATGTACAAAGGCGATAACCAAGATGATGATTCTTGATCAAATTTGGAATATCAGGCACATTTCACAGGAAATATTACCCATGCCTATAACAATGGTTCAAATTACTTTGCCAAAGAATTAGGAATCTTACACATAACCTCTAGAGTTGTATTTTGTACCAAACATTACGAATTTACATTAATATAGTAAGTCTTCATGATCACTTACTTAGTCTAACAATCAGTGGCATAGGAAGTTTCTAAAAGTTGGGGGGGGGGGCAGGCTTCGAGGGCACTTTCCGAATAAAGGGCACTGTAAAAACTGATAGGTTAAAATAACCTATTTGTAAAGGTTGTCACTTATATAAATAGGTTGTTTTAACCAATTGAATAGGTTATAACCAAAATAAATAGGTTAAAATAACCAATTATTTTTTGGTTGATCTCAAACATTTCGGTACAACTAATATAAATAGGTTAATTTAACCAATTGACCAAAGTAAATAGGTTAAAATAACCAATTATTTTTTGGTTAATCTTGAACAATACAACTAATATAAAAACAAGTGAAAGAAACTCTAAAGATCGATAACATTTTTATATTTATCAATGGAGTTTCATTTGTTTTGTATTTTGTAAAATACTCAGTAGTTCTAAAAATTATTGTAGTTTAATAGGTTGTTATCTTGGGTGTTTAGCCGATACTGATAACAATAGCCAGGTTGTTTTAAATATTTTTATAATACTCATTCATAATACATAAACTTTGTACCTGGCAAATAATGTCAACCATTAATGAATTAAATTATAAGCCAATAATAATTGCTCAAAAGACAAAACAGTTATAGGCAATTATAGGCAATATTAGTTCAGTACGTCATAATCTTTGTTAATAAAATTAGAAAATGCATCTTATTTTTTACATATTTATACTGATTATAGTATACTATATACAACACTGTACAGATCTAACATTGAATTGTTTATCACAGTCATTTCAACATATAGTATATGCATTCATGTGGGAACCACACCACCATAAATCATCTTTTAATCTCCACGACTCCACATATTGGGGGGGGGGGGGTAGGCTGGCTATTTATGGGAATTAATAGTGAAAAGAGGTGGGGTTTTAGCAATTGACATGAATATACAGTTACCTAAAAAAATACTACTTTAATAGTTGGTCTGTCATAAAGTCATAAACTAAGTTTATAGTGATCTAATATATTTTCAGCAAAATGTCCTGGGGAGGGCATGTGGGAAGGTCTAGTCTCCAGATTGTTATCTTGGGTGTTTAGCCGACACTGATAACAATAGCCAGGTTGTTTTAAATATTTTTATAAATATACTCATTCATAATACATAAACTTTGTACGTGGGAAATAATGTCATCCATTAATGAGTTAAATTATAAGCCAATAATAATTGCTCAAAAGACAAAACAGTTATAGGCAATTATAGGCAATATTAATTCAGTACGTCATAATCTTTGTTAATAAAATTAGA